CAAATCAGTAACATGGATCAGCTGTACACACAGTCTGATTGATGGCAAGAACAATGAAAAACTGATACGGGTTTACTGTGTACAGTTAATGCATAGTTTACAGAATAGTTTCTTTTGGTTTACAGTATAGACAATTTGAAATTCTGGCCTGTCTAAATGTGTTCTGAGCACATAGGCATATGGTTATTCCTGTACTCGGTTTTAACTGAGGCTTTCACCTTAATCCATTTCATAAGTACCTGGTATAGGGTGAAGCACCTCACTGTTTCAAAGGGTATTGGATGTGTTTCCCATACAGAGCCATCACTGGTACAGTATGTGTGAAAGCAAGGGGATGTCCTTCAGGTCAGCTATGCCAGTTTCTGTCCTCATACACACCGGCTCTGCAGTGTGGAAAAGCAGGTGTCCTATATCAGGCACTTACTGTAGGTCACAGGCAAGACATTTCTACCACAGACATCTGCAGTCTTTCTTTTGTTAACCCCTCCGTGCTGTTTCAGGTTTCAGGACCCAGTTAAAAATCTTAAAAGGCTGGGGAAGAAAAATGAATCCTTATGAAAAGAAAAAGAGTGTCTTACACAGGTTTATTTTTATCTACACTACCACACGTGATATTTCTAGAAAACTATTACAAACTTGGAGTGCAGGGGTTCCCAATGCTGGTTCATGGATTTTCTTCCACCTGAGCACCCAATTAAATAATTGAACCCCTAACAGACCGGGTTAGGTTTCATTTGAACTCATTGAAGAGGTTGTCCTTTAACTGCTGAATTTCTGAGGCACCTTAAAATCTCCTACATTGGAGTAGCTTAGCCAATTAATCTTTTCAGCCATGCAGCTGCATTGATAACCTGCAGGTATGGGGGGGGGTCACCAGGCCCAGGACTGGTAGCCTCTGCTATGGTATATTGAGACACAAATATTTTTCTCTTATACAGTGTTCACAGCAGAGGCTGCTATACTCTCAGAGTTCACTCCACTGGAAAGTCCACTGTGCCCTGACTCACCAAAGCTTCTCACAGATTTAGATTGTACTCCTCAGCAGTCTAAAACCTTACAGTACTGTCAGGAACTCTTTCCTGTAAGAAAGACACAGACCTCCTGTTGTCTTGGCAAGGGAACAAACATCTCGCATCGCAGCTGAAAGAGGAATTGGCTCTGAACGCATTTTCATCAGGCTAAACCAATTTCGGCCAATCTAATTGTCAACTGTGGAGCCTTTAATTCCTCAGCCCAGAGGCAAGCCAGGCTCCTGGGCCTGCTGTTCTTGAGCTGTCTCTGTTGGGGAGACCCGGGTGAGGCCTGGCTGGAATGTTTCTCCCGCTACCTCGACAGTACTTTGACCACTCTCAGGAAGCTGCCCCAGGGGGCTGGCTACCATATGGAAAGTATTACTAGCCAGGCCTCTTGCTGTTTTCCAATTGATTTCACCCCCCACCTCCAACGAGCACAGTCATGTCATGGAAAGGCTGAATGAATTCGCCTGTGCCACAACCTACAACACAGAAATGTATTTTATGAGTGCCCTTCAAGCCCAGCCATCCCAGAAAGTTGTGCAGAAATATAAAAAAAAATCCTTTATTAAAAGCAGTTCATTACACAGCCTAACTTGCAAAAAGACTGTCCAAACTCTATGGGATTAATTACAGGAGACCGGGAATTCTTCCACTGCTTAACATGCATGCATGAGATGATTGTAGCCATTTTTAAAAACATGTCTTGCTGGTAGCAAATGTTTGAAAATGTGTTACAGATTCACTACAGATCTGTCCTTATTCACACATAGTGCCTAAAATCTAACCAAGTGGACCTCTGCAGAAAGGAAAAAATATAGTGGGAGCTTAATTCAGTGTCATTATCCACCTAAGAGCATCCAAAACTGATCTCTTATTAAGAGTCGTTTAGACAGAGCTAAGGAGGCAAATTCCTAAACAAGTTGCATAATCACCAGCTGAACTGGCTGGAACAATGCGCTTAAAAGCACAGTATATTTGAAAACAAGGACAGAGTGCAGAAACTAGTGAACAAAATGAGCAAGCACATCAATTAAAAGCACCAGTGATTAGCAGCTCAGTGGGAAAGAAAACCAACAGACACAGGGTCCCCCAGGAGGAGGGCTGGAAACCACTGTTTCATACCACTGGAGAAGACATCTGTGTACACATGGATTGCTAAAACAATTCTCTAGAAAGAGAAGTCTCTGCTTCATTGTTGGAAGCTGTTAAAATAAAAGCAGGCAAACTGCATAGCATTTTAATGTTTGCTTTTTCTACCTGCACATCGCATATAATGCGTTTATGCTCAAGCAGAGGTAGAACAGAAAATGAAAGGCAACTGGAGCATGGCTTTCAGCCTTCTACGAGGCTAAATTAACATTGTCCCCTCCTGCCTGTTTCTCCATCATGGACACAGGCTGAACAAAGACATCTGGAGAGCATTAGATGAGAAGCAACGACAGCCCTTGGTGCTCACTGAGATGAGAGCTGGTGCAAATTGCTCTTTGAAATTGCCTTCTAATGCACAGAGAACCCACTGCTCTGAAACCGGCGCTGCAAATTAAATGTTCATCTAAATGATCTCCATGGTAACATGCAGGATTGTCAGCCACCTTGACCTCCTCAATAAATCACAGCCTTTGGAAACTCAATCTCAATGTGATGAAAGGTTCTGTCCTCTGTGTAACTAAAGCACCGCGTTTTGGAATAAAATTAAGCGCAGTGAAATGGGGGACAGTCTAAACCAGTTTACCACCCCCACAATCCCATTGAGCCTGACTCCAGTTCTGCGAACAGCACTTCAGCCTGTCTCCCTTATTGCAAGAGCTGGCACCCCAAGACGGGCTCCACTCTCATCATACAACATCCTGCATTTGCATCACAGCACTAAACCTCGCATGCTTTAACTTTAGAAATCCTGTAGAATCCCACACGTCTTCTGGTCTTAAATATTTTCTAAATGATGTGGAACATTGTTAATTATTTGCGAGCATTAATTAGAGTTGAGAAAATCCTTGCCTTAGGCTACCTGAACCAGTTTTCACAAAGCTGAAGTAGTGGGAATTGTAGGAGCCTGTTTTCTTTCCCCCAGTGAAGGTCAAAAGTCTTCAGTCAGTGCTGCGTTATTGCATTCATTTGTGGTTACTTGCAGCTTCATAAAGCGGGTTTTAAAAAATATTACCCAGGTGCTTGCCTTGTCATCACCTACTTTTCACTCATCAATCATGCATCAGTAGCTAGTTAGTCTTTGGAACTGCTCTGTGAAGCCCTTTCCTTTGAGTGGAACTTCAGACTAGGATTACAAACTACTATTCAGACCCCTACACACTCTATATGATGCCAAGTATTACAGCACATTATAGCTGTGTGCCTGTCCTAGCCCTTTTGTATCAGTCAATCCCCTAGCCATTTCAGTTACTTTTCTTATTCAGCTTTTTTATGGTTAATACATTCATCCTCATCTTCCACATGACAAACCACAATTTTGAAAATCATGTTGCTAATCCAAATTTTTTTCCATAAAGAATACAATCTTTTTTTTATATGTTAGGGATAAATGGATAAATGGCAGAGAGCTTCTTTATAAAAAAAGAACATTGCATTTGGAACAGTTGTCTTGGCCCATGGGCTAGGATTTAAACTGACTGCAATGTCCGTTATTCCCATAACTTTCTTATAAGCATGTACTTCCTTGTAATTGAGCTACATCAAGGAAAGCAATCTCTATCTCTGCCTTTTTATGCTGATCCCTTATCATGATCTCTAGGAGAAATGGTGTGATGTAGTGCACAGGAGAAGGCTAAGAGTTGTTGAGATTATTGCCGGCGAGCTTGGTTTCGATCTACTACAGAGAACACGGCCAGGAAGCACATCAGCTACCAACACAGCAAACAATTTTCTTGGAGAATTTCCTGTCAACCGTCTCAGGAACATATGTTAAAGCGCAGCGTTTCATAAAGAGAATGGCCAAGAATGAGGAAGTTCCAGAATTTCTAAATGCTGAGTGTAGGGCTGTATTTGTTCATTCGTCATATAACAATTGGGCCCTAGAAACCCATCTTACCTTTCTTAAAATATCTCTGCCTCTTCCACACATTGCATTACTCTGCAATGATCAGTTAATGGTCACTTGTCAGCTTTGACAACAGTTAAGTGTCACACATAAATCACGTGTGTAGATGTAAAATAATGCTTACCAAGGAGTACAAGGAAACACTACACCCATTTAAGCAGAGCAAAATGAAAAATGGCTGAATTACAAGGAGAAGTTTTACTACATTGCTGCCAAAGCGGGTGGCACAGTGGTGCAGCAGTTAGCATTGCTACCTTGCTGTGCTTGGGCGGTGCTATCTGCATGGAGTTCGCATGTTCTTCCCATGTTCGTGTGGGTTTCCCTAGGGTGCTTGAGTTTCCTCAAACAGTCCAAAACAAACTGGTAGGTTAATTTTCATCTCTGAAAACTGGCCCTACTGTGAGTGTGTGTGGGTTTGTGTGGATACAGCTAAAGCTACTCAAAAAAAAAAAACTATGCTTTGTATCATATTTTCAGTACTTGGAAATATAATTCAAGCCTTTTACTATCACCTCTGCCTCCATCTTAACTTTCAGAGCCTTCACTTAGCTTGATAGAAAGCCGAGTTTTTTTTTTTTAACCAGAATTAAGATTCATGACTAGTTTACTCCAAATAGTTCATCTATGTTTTAATCCAAGTAAACACTCTAAGAAAGATAGGTGAGTTAATTGAGTCCCTTCTGACACCAGTTTCTGTTTATGCACTCCAGCTTTATAAACCATGATGTGGACCAAATGGAAAAGGTACAATTATATGAGCTTCAGGCGCTTAATTTAATGCAGTTAAATGCAGCGGCTATTTATTATTGGATATAGCGCTGCCAGTTTTAGAGGTGTAGACAGAAGCACCACAGTTGAGCACTGTATTAACATGACATTTTTGTAATTGCAGGATCACACATTGCAAGAAGCAAAACTTTGATTTCTATCTGGCTCTTTGAAAAAAAATATTTACTGTGACAAAAAATGATTTCAGATGATTCGATCAATCACACAAACAGTGCATTGTAGTTTTATTTACACATGCAGGTAGTATTCCCAACCATATCATAATATACAAGTACATTACATTATACACTCCACGAATCTTTAGCTGGATACATATTATCAGGCATTGTTCCGCAACAACTGGCATCTAGAACTGTATCTGCATGGCAGAGCTTTTTAATACTCTTTTTAATTTAGAAAATAAATCCTTTCTACCATTGCACATTTAAGAAACAATCATTTAACCCCTTTCCCAGGCTGCAATTCATAGCTTATAGCTTATATTAAGGATATAGATTTGGAAACCTTTTTAATCTTTAGGTTAGTCCTTGCTACTTGTAGGAGCCGCATGTTCCCTAGTTTATTTTTGATGGCCATGTAGAAACTTTCATGCAATTTTATTTATTCAGTACTGGTCTTCTTGACCTTCTTCTGGTTGGAAAAAAAAAAGTTCAGTTTGTATGCAGTTGGTCTCCTGTAGTCCCTTCCACAGGGATCCGGGGATACTAGTTAAATGTGTTGAAAAAGATCACATGTCATGCAAGTAACAGACATCCTACTTGAAGAGCTGCCATCCACACCTGACTGCCTGCACAGGTACACATGTGGCTTTGACAGGGAGCAGGCAGCTGAAGCTCAGGATAAGGAGAAGAGCTCCAAGCGAGCTTCCCCCCGCTCTCTGGTGCTGATGTCAAAGCGTGCTTGCCCCCCGGTAGGAACAGGGAGGCCTGTCAGTCTCTATTCCCCCAAGCGTGTCGCTCACAGAGCTCCGATTCTGCGCCGCACAAGAGCTACCTTCTTTTTCTCATGCTGTTCTCCAGCCGGCCCAGCTCCTCATAGGACTGGTAGAAGATTTCAAACTCCCTGCCTCCCCAGCCCCTCCAGACAGCCAGGCACCACTCCATGTTTTCATTTCGAAAGCCGCACACAACAGTGTCCTTTGCAACCACAGCCGCTTCCATCAGCACCCTGGGGAAAGACAGGGGGCATTTTACTCACTTTCACTTTTTTTCTAAACAAGAAATTAACATGTAGCGCCTCTTCCTAGAAACACGGAGGCAGCATGGAGAAGCATTTCCTTCAGAGGGCACTGGCTTTACAATCACACTGTTTATTAGTTCGACTGTACAAACCAGTAGGAAAACATACCGGTTCAGCCTGCTTAGCATTTTAATGTTTTGAGCCTGTTATTTTGTAAATGGATCACACAGTACACAGCAGCAGAGCTGCTGCCCTAATAGCATTTATGTGTAACAAATGTTATTAACAGTATTTGCTTTTTGTTTTCAATTAAAGACAAGGTAGTTGCACACATTCTGTCCTTTACTAAACACCTTCTGAGGTCAGATTGTTGAAATTACAACTGGAACATACTCAAGTTTCCTTTTGGACCGTACTATGCTAGGACATGATGCAATTCCAGAACACATGTCTCAAGAGGCACTTTACCAGGTTACTCAATAAGATCACATAAAAGAATGGAACTCCTCAGTTTTAAGCTGAAATGTAAATCTGGATTTTCATTAACTTTCTGTGGCTGTCCCATTATTAGTGTTTTGCATGTCAAGTGAAAGATAAGGGTGTTTGAAGACCTCTGATTAATGACCATAACATAAGTACTGGTGTCAAATTGCTCTTACAAATTCAGAAGACACAGACTCCTGTAGACTTTAGGGATGTATGTTCTTTTTAGAAATGATTTATGCAATAACCACCAAATTCAATTTTAATACATCAAAAACTTTCTTGACCTGCGACACAGGTGGATAATACCATGTGGGCTTATTAATGGAAATGTACTGTTTACTGCATAATGGTGTGAAACGCCTGCTCTTAAACCTGAACTTTGAACAAAAGTCCTTTTTATAGTGAAACAGCTGGTAGAACTTTTAAAGAAATAATTACAGAGTCACCCAAACCATTAACTACATGATGAATGATCTCTGTGTGCCTTACTGAAGCTGAATCAGCAGCTTAATGTCTATTTTTTCCATATTTGAGAGCTTAACTGCAAGTAAGGAGGAGCTGAATTGATCCAAACATCACGCCATTGTAAATGATGATTTGTGATGGACAGTATACAGGACACATCGAAGGCAGAATGACTATGAATTTTAACAGGAGCATGAAGTCTTCGAAACTTCAAAACCTTTCAAAACCTAATTTAAACCAAAAACCAACAAAATGGAGTATGAACACCAAGTAACAATTTCCTGAGTAAAAATAAATTGTGACTGTTTCTTGTGAAGTTGTGTTGGCAATTGGGATGTCATAATGCATAACAATTGGAGCAGCTCCAAACTCACCCGTGCTCAGGCAGAGTTGGGGCCCTCAGTACTGCGATCACCCTGCCTCTCTGGACCTCTGCCTGCTTCTCCAGCTTGATGACCATCACTTCCCCACCACGCCTGCAAGACAGCAGTCTCTCAGTCCCACATAGGCCATAAGCTGTGCCCTCCCGACTACGTCTGCACAGGCACGTTTCAGCATAGCTACTTACTTTGAAAATGTAATAGCTATTTCAAATAATGAAATCAAAAAGCTTAAAATGATTTTAAACTGTTTTAAAAGTCTGATAAGACCCAGACCTATGGTCCAAGATCCACAAGATAAAATTGTTTACCATTTTAATTTTCCTTTGACATAATTATTAATAATACACATATGAGAATGTCATTTACCATGTAGTATGCTTTTCACACAGATCTGAAAACTGATTGTCTTACGATTAAGTTTAGTTAGTCCTAAACTAACTCTGCTACACTATGTAATTCCAGATACATAAAAATAACCATGAATCTGCCAGCAGCTATATCAACCTGCAGCTCACAACTGGCCACACACTGAAGCTAAGCAGGTGTAACCTGGTCAGTACCTGGATTGGTCTTTACCAATCATGGCCTCCTAATAATCCCCCTCTCTGAACTGGCTTCATCACTCTGTTCTCCTCCCCACTGATAGCTGGTGTGTGCTGAGCTTACTGGAGCACTATGAGTGCTGTCACATCCCCCATTACCTGTAAAGTGCTTTGAGTAAAGTGACTTGAAAAGTGCTATATACTGTAAGTGTAAGCAATCAAATCTGAAAATAGGTTTGGAAATCCCTCCCAGCCTTCGCTTTTGTGGGCACTGAGAGTGGTGGCTAACCCCTCCCCGCAAACCGAGGGATTGCAATGACCAGAATGGAGCATGTTGATGAGCGCGCATAAATATCTCACCTGGGGATCCACAAGGTGTTTCTCACTGCAAGGACTCTCACAGCCTGCAGATGCTCCGGGGTTTCGCTCTCCAAGAGAGCCTCAAAGGTCTCGGGGGAGGTGGGGTCGACGGGCAGCTCCTGCGCTCTGTCGGAGTCCTCGCAGTCCGTGGAGAAAGGCATGCTGCAGGAGCTGGCCAGAGAGCTCAGCACCCCCGAGCTGGACCGGTCCATCTGACACAGCTGCTCGGAGGACGCGGAGGACATGGAGCAGTAGTCCGTCAGGGAGTCCTGGTGCATGATGATCTGAGTCCCCGTCTCCTCGCTGTACATTATTGTCACCTCTCCGGGGCTGCTGTGCTCAGAGCTCTTCTCCGGGGTGGGGGGCGATGGAGAGACCGCCCCAGCAGGCTGCTGGACTACGAACATGTCCCGGAGGGGGTTGCGGTCTCCACAGAAGTACCGCGCGCAGAGCTGGTAGCTCGCGGCATGGTACATGAGCAAAGTGTTCGTATGGTCATCCAAACACCAGGCGGCCTCTTCTCCCCAGCAGCCTGAATTAGATGCCATTGACACTATTGTAGAGGGGTAGGTATAGGGATCCAAGCGGTTAACTGCCTGGAGGGTCAAACAGTCGATGATGAGGATGCCAGGGCCATTGGTGTACCAGACCTCAGTGCCACTGTTAGCCAGTAACATGGCCTTCACAGGGTAGGGCCTCTGCCTCGGATCTTCGTCTGCAATGCTGAAGACGGATCTGTTGAGAGTGTGGGAACACAGGTAGGACTCGCCATCGTGGGGTACGTCGTTAATCAGCGTGTACACAGCAATAAGCCCATCCGCCATGCCCACAAAGACCAACGGGAGAGACTAGAGCAAGAAAGACAGAAACAAGATCATGCTTTATAGGTGCTTCAGCTCTCAGGCAAGGATTGGACATGAAACAGGGGCGGCAAGAATGTGGGACATGTCTTGTCAAGGACTATGAAACACATATCTTCAAGGATCACAACCCAGCTGATCTTCCAGGTTTCTTATTAATTCTTTCAAAAGCACTTGAAAATGATCAATTGATGAACCTTCAAAATAATAAATTTAAAAACAATAAATTCAAATTGACAAAGAGACGAAGTTGTAGGGATGGGTCCCGCGTCTGGAAAACGTACCTCAATATACAGCGGTATACATGCATGTACTGTGATATGTACCGTGGTATACTGCAAACTATTTTGCATGTTTATATATGGAGACTCTCTCATAGTTTCATGATTAGTAAAGCATATTGAAATGTATACAAAATAATTAAAATGATGTTGTTTTATTGGTACCAAAGAACTAGAAATAACACTGAACAGTGTAACAGAACAATTTAACAAGATGCAGATTTTTGTCAATAATTAAATGATTAAATGTTTTTTCACAAGCTATTGGAGGTTAATTTTTGGTTTGGCTTGGTTAGATGATGTAAAATTCAAAATATAACAGGTGCCTGTAAGCTGTAACATTTTTTCTTTACAATGAGTAAGGTCGATATTCACAACCTTATGAAACCTGTTTAGCATGTTCGATTGCCCTTGGCTATTTCATCTAAAACTTCAAAGAATCCTCAATGCTTGTTTAAAACATTGTTGAGACGAGACAATCTATATTGACTTAAACAGCTTAAGAAAATCTTACTTGCAAAAAAGATAAAAATCAAAGCATGTCTAATGGTAGTAATGGAATTAAAACATGATCAAGACTAGATTTCCTTCTCGACTAGAGTTACAGTAGAATCAGAAAAAGTAGAAAAAACAGCACATGTTCACTGGGTGATTGGGAATGCCCTTATCAATGAAAGTCAAGGTTGTTCTGAACCAATCAGCCCAATTTCCACATGATTTCCGAAAAACGTACTAGCCTTTTAAAGTTAACGATATTTTAATCGCAGTCATTTTGTTCTATGAATCAAATTAGATTTTATGAATGTAAACAGTAGAAAAGCTTTGTACAAAAGCATCTAAACAACCACACAAATACAAACAAATCAGATAAAATACTGTACATCAGTAACATGCCCTGGCTATGCGTTAACTTGTATTACAAATTCGTCACCATTTGACATCAGGGGACTTTGGTTTGTTAGATGGTTTGTTTTCCTCTTTAAATAGGGCTTTAGGAGCAGCAGTTTTCCTGCTTCACGGGGATAAAAACCAGCCTCACCAGTTAGGTGAGAACGGTGCTCGGTGGACCGGCAAGACAGAAAAAGGAGAACATTGTCTCAACTTCTGATTTTGATGACAATAGTTCTATCTAGGAGAAGTGAACAAAATGTTGTGTTTAAAATCACTTCTTACCAATGATGCATACAAAGCAGATCTTGTCAACAAGCTTAACGGTAGGTTATTTCACAAATTATGCAATTAACACAAATTATTGCATTAATTACAAACCAATAAATGTCTCTTGTATTTCATACAACTGTGGTGGGTAGTAAATGATCTATGCTAGAAAACCCCATGAACTGAGCTTCTTTCAGCAACAGGCATATAGAGCTCAGACTGGAACTGCTAAGACAGCCGATATCACATATATAACTATAGGAGTTCAGTTTCGTTTTTAAAAAAAGCTTTTGAGTTTTAAGTTAAGACTTGAAATTAGACCTAAAAAAGTCCTAATTTTATAAAAAGTTTCGAGTTTTCACAGTCAGGGTGCATAATAGATTGGAGTCCTATTGCCCATAGTTCAAATTCTTACTGAGAGGATCAACAAAATACTGGTATCAGAAGGCTATGGTGAACAGCGATAAGTGTAACATACTGTATAAGGAGATAAGAAATACAATGAGAATAGACCCTTCTTGGCCATAAAATACAATTGCAATTATCCTGAAGTCTGCACAACTTCTCCACAGAGGACACTACCTGATCAGCATAGCATTGAGCATTGATCCAAAGAAACACATCTTGATGGCACATCTTTTAACAGCCATACTCACACAACTGGACTTTTACAGGTGATGTGGAAAACCTAAGAACGCAGCCTCTGTCTTACAACTGCTTACTTGGATAAGAACTTAACTAGCTCAGCTATACACTACAAGGAGACATCCAGTTTCCTGTCAGATTTGATTTTCAAGTAAAATTGAAATTCCATCACTGTAAAGATGGAAATTCACACTATGATGTCCAATCTGGCCACGTGGAAGAACTGTTTACTGAACAGAAGTGGTCCCATTATGGAGGAGCTCAAGCCTAATTAAGGTATAAGTTAACACAAACTAAAGCCAATACAGGTAATGCCAAGTAGGCCCCCCAGCTGAGCAAGACAACTATAATGGTTCACATTACTGAAAGCAGTAGAGACATCCAGTAGAAAAAACAATAAAAAAGAGCCCCTGAGTCTGAAGCTATTAAGACATCAATAAAAATCTTGACAAGGGCTGTTTTGGTGCCATAAAGCAATTTAAAATGAGAGCGTAGAGATTCATAAAGTTTGCTTAAGAGGAGATGGTTCTTTAATTGCCACAGGCAAGTTTGGCATAGGCCATTAATTAATGATCGAGTTATTAGTAGCCTGGTTCATATTTCTTAAGACAGGTCTGACACCAGTAATTTTAAGTTCTAAGGGCCCAACTCTGTAGCTCAGAGATGCATTGATGATTTTTGTTGCCAACGGACAGGGAGTCAGGAAACAGTCTCCATCTCGACCTTATCTCTTTATTCCTAACAGACAAGCGGGGAATCAAATTTTATAACCCAGCTCTGGGAGGGCTATGAGAAACCTAGGCAAAGTTAAACAAGTAACAATATGCATCCATAGAACAGAGCTGATCTGTATAGCAAGGGGAACAGTGTGTATTGGATACAAATAATGTTTTTCTGGGACTATAGAGCTGACATTGGTTGCCAGTATGTTATTATAGAGTTCAACCATATAATCTGGATTCTCTACTGTTCCTGGAAAGGACAGGAAATGTGCAATACTGCTCCTGCAACTCACTGACACATTTTAACTCTTCTTTAACTCAGTTCTGCAAGAGGCAAGGCCATTAGGCTTATTACTTTACTTTTGTCTTGTCCAGGCAAACATAAGCGTTATGCACAGTACTCACAATTGTCTTAACCCTCTTAAGTCAGAGCTGTCCAGTCCTGGTCCTGGAGGGCTGGTGCACCTGGATTTTTCTAGGTGTCTTTAAAGAACCAGTACTTATAGAGCTAAAAGAAGCTGTCAACGTGGTCCAATTAGCCACTAGAGAACTGATTTAGGATCTTAATGGCCAAGTTGGAATGAAAACAGATAAGACACACTGACATTCCAGGTCCTGGGCTCGAAAGCCTTGATATAATCATGTTAAGGTTTTAAATAGCACTCTTAATAAAATATGTATCTAGTTTGTACACTTTATTCCATGGCCAGAACACAGTATTGTTTTATGGAAAACAGATCTCTAGATATTTTTTCATTCTAAAATTCACAAATTTAAGAACAACACAAGAGGATTACAAAAGATGAATTATTTATTTTTATCTGAACTATACCTTTGTGTTCAGTTTTCACTCAATAGTGAGGTATTGTGGTTAATTGGGCCGTGTCCAGAAGAGTTAAGAAGCACCAGGTTTACCACAAAACAGCTAAAGACGGCCATGGTTAAGAAGTCCTAAAACATCAAAGTTTTGTCCTAAAACATAATTAGTAGCAAATTAAAAACCTGATTGTAGAGTATTTTGTGTCAACACCAAGAGGCAGCCTGTTTCTATCGTGAACTGTAGCCAACACCTGGAAAAGCCAGTCTGCTTTATAATTAACAAAACCTGAGGCAAAGGGAAAGGGAGGAGTCACCCCTCAGGGTTATTAAAGGGACTGTATGGGACAAAAACATTACATTCCCACTGTGGTTAAAATACCTTTACATGTTAAATGAAATGTGCTCAACTGTAAAGGTGTAGCATGTAACACAGTGACATAAGCCAAGGAATGACATAAGTACAAAATACAAATTAGATTCTTAATGCTGGGTTGCACAATTTTCTTTTTGTTTTGGAGATAAACAGTTGGAGATATTGGAGAATTGGAGATAAACAGTTGTTTGACTCCTGTACTTCCCAGTCAGAATGAGGACCCATCAACGAGCTCCTGTCTCACACCCTCCACAGCCCCCTACAGAACAGCTACTGCAGACTGGAGGAACGGAGCCTCGCGCACTGACGGCTCTGCAAGTTCTCAGGTCACCAACGAGTCACAGCAGTTAGGAGCACTCTGCCAGGACTGCCGCCACTGCTTGGGAAACTTTCCAGATCATTGCAAACCCCGTTGCTATGGCTTACCTCTTTCCGCGCTGGCACTATAAACAAACAGGTGACCACGGCAGGACAGAAGAAATGTTGCTGGGGGTTATTCAGTGGACACATATCCTTCAAACTGTAAATATAAATATTCTGGTCCTTGGGGGGAAGAAAAAGGACAGATTAAAATCAGAACCTGAGAAAACACAACTGTGCGCAGGAGACAATGACATTCTCTCAAAGCAATAAAGACAACTTTCACGTGTCACAAAGATAGACCGAATTCAGCAGATTGGTTCCAATCAGTCACTTTTTGGTCTACAACGATTTGTTTTAAGCCGTGGAGAATTTTGAAGTGTTAAATTCAGGCAAGCATATTGATGCCATGCTTCGTTAAGATGACCTTTTCCATTCCCATTTAAAAACAGGTTAAAAAAATTGCAACGTGCCCCTCAGTACACACTTTTCTCAAGGACAACAACGAGACTTCCAGTGTACCTCGGTTGCAGTCCAGAGAGTGTTTTCTACTTTCATTTGACAGCTGATCTTCATTCCAGGGCAGGCCATTCTCCTTACTTCGACCTGACCTTTGTCGACATTCACCACAGTGTAATTCCTGCAAGACAAATCCCGACGAATGAGCTACATTTCAAACCTGCAGAGTGCCCCCTTCACACCGTTTACTCGGGCCTACCGCTCTGTATAAAGTACTTAGACAGCTTTCTGAGACCATTTACCCAAGCGGGGAGTTTACGCTGAAGATATTTTCACATCAGCTCAGCCTGGCTCATTTCGATTTCTCACCTGTCCACAGGGACAGTCTCGATGAGCCAGCTTTGCAGTGCAGAACCGCAATGCGTGCAGGTGGGTTACCGAGAGATGTGGGTGCCACTCACCACTGAAAGCGCACATCTGTTACTCATATCAATGAGGAGGCCTGAGAGTGTCTCCGTGAGTGGCCTTGTTTGTGTTGGGGAAGGCTTATGGGCAAGCAAAAATCAGCAACAACTGATTCAGGAGATAAAGCTCAGATTGTGCAGTGCTGGCATTACCCTGGAACCCCATATTTCCGTGGTATTCAATCACAAACAGCAATTAACACCAGCAAAGCAGCTCCTCCTCCTCCAGAAACTGTGTTAGAAGGCTTATCCTGTATTTCCATAGCCCTTTTTAAGCATCATCAATTTATCACAATTTTTAAAATCCCTTCACTTCTACCTTTTTGGAAAAAGGTACTGTCCATGCTACATAGATGTACAGAGGTTTTATACAGCTTTTTTAATAAAAGAGAGATATCAACCAGGTAATAAGTGGCTCTCACAAAAGCATGCGGGATCAAACACCCTTTCTTGTACTTTACCATTATATTATTTACAATTATAGCAGCTGTTATTTTATTGCGGCAAATTTGCATTGATGTTTTCCTTTCTGAGGGAAGTAAAGGAATTATGTACACACAAAGACTTTTATGCTCCCTCATGTATAAACAAAAGTTATCTACTAGAAATTAAAGACAAGTGAACAACCTCGAAACATAAGCATGGACAAAAACATCTAGGTATTTCCTTGTTGGTTGGTGTGGGGGAAACGTAGTAATTAGAAAGAATAACAATCTCTAGTAGCCCATATGGGCAGCCACATTATCTCTCAGACACTGCTACTGTTTCTTAAGCACTCCCCATGTCAAAGTATGAAGAGATTAAGAAACCGCAAGAGCTTCTGATAGATCTTGTTGATTTTTTTCAACAGTCCAAACCTTTCGTCTTGGTCGATGTCCCAGAACACAGCGGGGTGCCCCTGCTCGCTGGAGAGGAAGAGCTGGCTGTGCTTCCCACAGGGCAGAAGGTACTTAAAGCAGGGGAAGCTGGGCTCCTGCATCAGCCTGAGCAGAGCCATTGCCGTGGGACGCTGCACACAAGACAGGAACAGAGCACACATTCAAACACCAGTGGACCAGGACGGTATGTTTGCAGTTCTGTCACAATGAGGCCTTCCAGAGTTGCACAACACTGCTGAAGTATGAATTTATTCATGGGAGCTCAGCTCCTGGATACAGCGCAACCTGATTACCGAAAGCATTCTGGTCTGCATCACTAATTTTAGTTATTCCTTCAGTTATTTCAGGCTGTACAATAGTTTGAATTATGCTTTGTCCTCAGACTGGTTTTAGAGAAAATCCAAATGCTATGTAATGTAAAGATTTACCGATACCCGGCCGATGACTGCTGAACTACTTTACAAACAGGACAAACAGGTTAGTTTCCATGGAGAGTGTTGTATTTCTGACACCCAACTACCAATGACAAGATAAACCCATGCAGAGACCCACCTTCTCCGGCTTGGTGTCCCAGCATTCTAACATGAGTGTCTGCAGACAGTGGAACTGCACCTCCTCTGGGATCCCCAGCACAGGCCGGACACCCTTGGACAGCTTCTTGGCAATCTGAAGCTGGTGCTGTCCCAGCACAGGCCTGAGCCCAGACAGCAGCTCATACAGCACCATGCCATAAGAGAACATGTCCACCTGGTCAGAACAAGCATTAATCTGTCAGGATCTAGATTTTCATAGCCATTACCCACAACAGGAATACAGTTACATCAAATGTAGTGATAAGGTATAAAGATTATCTGGTCAAGCATGGAATATAGAAATGCACTGTGGCTATGAAAGGCTTATGGAAGACTATAACTATAGTAACGGGCAGGCTGTTTATGTTATTAAAGCCGTCTGCAAAGTCTTCCAAAGCCCTAATGTTCTTCCAAATAATGGCTGATAACCCACACTGCAATTAAACCACCACAGCTACTGGGAGTTTGTGATAACACTTTATTTCCAAATCAACTACAGTACAGTACAACTACCATCATGATGACACCACTGTACAGAACCAGCCATTCCCAATTCTAAACTTAAAAATTCAAATTAAAAAACCTGTTTAATTTATGATGATTTGGTATTTTGTTGTGTTTTTGGTATTGGTATAGCATTTCAGCTTGCTATTTTACGGCAAAACACACAAATAAAAGACACACCACAAATAAACCAAATGTAGGTGGACATAATTGGCAGAAAGGTAGGTTTAAATGAGTCAATTATATAGTTTAAATGTTCTAAATACACAGGGTATCCATAATTTTAACAAACCTGCCTTGTGTGAGACATTCCTACATACTCCTGAAGGGATTTCATTTCTGATCTCTTACAAAGGAAAAAGATCCAATCATGGAACTGAAACTGAGAATGTCAATAGGCATACCACTGCTTTTTATCAACATCTTGACACAAGGGCTTCATTGGTCCATTAATTCTCCTTTGAGCATTTCTCTGCAGAGCCACTAGGATTAGGGAGATATAAATCTTGACGAAAATTAGATGCTGAGCATCACACTCTCTGGAGAAGAGAGATCCACTTTAACACCAGATAATTTCACTAAAGTTATATATTCTGGAGATAAAAACCACAGATACAACACGCCACACACTTTCCTTTTTGCAGATTAAATATAAGAAAATCCAGATTGTCTCTTACAAGGCTGTTTAATAATTAAAATTATCTGAAGGCTTTTAATTTTGTTTACCGATAAGTAAAGTCACAAATACCAAGCTGAACGTTGCTTCCTGAGAATGGGCCACAATCCTTTAACAATGGGTTACAATCCTTTAAGAGATCAGGCTCACCTATGTTAAAAGCACATTTCTGCTGCAGAAGAATTAATAGAACTGTTTCGTGTGTTCAGTCTAATATTTCAATTGTTCAGTCTAATATTTCGACACCTGTCTGCCATTTACACAACACCCTAAGGAAGTGAAACAAGTACCTTCTCATCATAGACGATGCCAGGCCTGATTTCTGGGGCCTGGTAGCCTGGCGTCCCTTCTACCCCTAGTGCCCCCTCGTGAAATGACTGCCGGGAGATGCCATAGTCCGAGAGCTTGATGTTCACTGGGTCTGAGACTTCCAAGGACCAGACTAGGATGTTGTCGGATTTCAAGTCACAAAAGATGATGTTCTTCCTGTGCAGATAGGCCAGCCCTGCAGCAATCTGATAGGCTACTCTATAAGTCAGCATGTGACCCAATGGCAAAAACTGAACTCCTGCTAAAAAGAACAGAAAAGATTTTGTAAATGAGGCAATCCAGATTATCATTGTACAGCATCATGATTAGTTTCTGACTGGCATTTTTTGTGCCTAATTCATCTTAGATTAGGTGTAAAGTGAATAGTAAATTTAAATGAGACATTTAATTTAGCTTTCAAAAAAAGCCATAAACATATACTATACAGTATGTAAGCTAGGAGTTACCAAGTTTTTTTAAGTAAAGGGCTGAAGTTCCATCTCTACCATGAACTCACTGTGTGCCACCCTCTGGACGTTCCTCATTTTCTCCCGACATGCTTTGCAGATAAGACACAAAACAGAGGTCCTACCTGACAGCTGAAGCTCCCGAGTCATAATTCACCCCTTAGTCTAGCTTCGTTAAGCTGCGAAATGACTGACCACCTAACGCCACAGAGCCGTCTAGATTTAATTAATATATGTTTAGACCTTGTAATTACTGTGTTTAAAACTTGTATGGCTAAAAAATGAAGTGTCACTCTGGCTGCACGGTCTCCTTGGGAACAGGGAAGAAGCAGACAGCAGCGCGTCCGGGTGGGAACTGGGCACTCACCCTTCGAGTGCTCCTCCAGCACTGTGTTGAGGCTGCCCATGGGGGCCAGCTGTAGTGCGAAGCAGAGGGGGTGGATGCTGATGCCAATCAGAGAGACGATGCAGGGGTGCTGCAGGGAGTGGAGCATGCTGGCTTCCTGCCGGAACTCGGAAAAGTTCCGCAGGGCATCCATGGACTGCAGGTGTTTAACCATGGTGTCTGGAATCGGAAAAGGATTCGCGCTTATGGAGGGCGTGAAGATCCATATCCTTTTTTAACTTCTGGAACTGCAACTGCGGGCAAATCTAAAACACTAAAACACAGGAGGGCCGTCCAATAGCAAAATACTGGATCCTCAACCTCAACCAATTCCAGTGTATGCTTTTTAAGTCACCCATTGTTTTATTCAAACAACAAATACAAGTTTTAGCTAGAAAAATCAGCATTGGCATTAACCTTGATACAAAATCCTCATGCAACATTGTCTGCTTGAGTCCAGGAAAACTTAAAAGGAGGCCTGAATGAATATTCCGTGATCCAGCTCTAACAGTTAAGAAGTTATAATATTTCTTACTAAAAACATACACTTAAAAACTGTAAAATAAAACCGTAAATAACACTTATGTGGCTCAGATTTATAATTCAAGCAAACTTAATGAAAAAAAAACTCATTAAAAATATGGTGCTTTCCCCATACTGTGCAGAGGTCATACAGAGCTGCAATAAACGCAGTTAAAGCAGCATTAAGTTACTGTTGAGCTGTATCAAAAGAATGCCATTGTTTTCCAGTAAATCATAAGGCTTTTTACATCTTGCAGTTCTAACCCAAATCAGGCCAAAAAATAAGCGTTGACAAAAAATACAAAATAATAAAAATAAGACACTGGTTTCTTTCAGGTGCAAAAGGCTCATTTTGTGTGTGCTGTCACTTTGATCCCTACCCCCAGAAGACACAGTGCGAGATGGCTGCAGCTTTTGCCAAATAACTGCAATCCTTCTAGATGTCACTAGTTACAGATGGCCAAGAGACCGAAACACTGCAGGACCAACAGCTGCTTTTCTTCCAATTGAGCTTGTTTTTCATTTCATGCCAAATTGCAAGACTAATGCAAAAGTTATTAACTAACCCCCAGCAAATAAGTAAGACCTTACGTCTCATGCAATCGGCATCCTCTAATCTAAAGTGTTAAGCATTTTTATAGAATTCAGCCTGTAAGCACGCGGCACAATACGAGTGCTTGTGCTGTTCATTTTCCCAAAAGTGAATCTAATACAGGGTTAATTTTGATTGTCTTCATGTTCCGCAGGACTGCCAGATGATTTTTGGAACATGCTACTGGTGCACATAAAAATGCAATAAGGAAAGCAGAAATGTATCTGAGAAATGTAACCATATTTTGTTCCGGAACAAACAGACTTACTTACATCACTTTCACGACAAATTTGCAATAAGATAACAATTATTGAGTGTGGTCAGAAAAGACAAACTCACCAGCTGGCGAGAAAATATTAAAGCAACCCAAAGATTAACATCATACTGTATACTACTTATACTACTTCTGTGACTTTTCAAGGAAAGCACCATGCTCTTCAACTGAAGAGAGACAAAGACCATCTTCCAATAGAAGCTGCACGACAACACACAGTGTGGATAGTGTGCAAATGTCAGGTACAGCAGTACACCTTGGGAATTTCAGGCAGGTGAGATGAGGCCCCACTCCGTATGTGGTCTAAGATGTCAGAGGGGGAGTGAAAAAGCCTCAAGCAGACACTGCTCTCTTTTCTACACCTTCCACTTAAACAAGGTCTGCTGCATCCTACTATTAATCTGCTAGATAAAAGGACAGGTGTCTCTCTGGGGTTATATTAGGGATGGTACTTTAAAACAATCGCTTTTGTCTGCAACTATAAATGTTACTTTGGCCAGTGTTTTTTTTTTTTTTGGAGTTTTGTAGATACAAAGATGACTTTATAGTTTGCTTACTGTTTACAGCCACAAGGGAAAGAGTATACAGGCAAAAGAATGTTGCCATGGTTAATGTGTAGGATGTGCTAATCTAAAAAAAATACAGTAACGGTTAAAAACAATACACTAGCAATTATTTACCACACTTTGATATCCTGTTTTCTGTCATTATTTACAACCATGTTCCACAAAGCTTTCCATATTAATATGACTTCAGAACCACCTACTGTACTACAGACTACAGGGAAAAGAACTTGCATCACACTTTCATAACTAAGGTCATTGCAAAAAGATGCTTGGAAAATTTTATGAGCAACATTAAACATGTGGAGAAAACTGCAATAACATATTTATGTCCACAAAACTGCAGACCTCTCCATGCTGAAAATGCTGACTAAAGATTTTGATTGCGGTGCACTTTTTTGTAGCCTTTAGATACAGTTCATATCTGCAGCTCACTGTCATTGACATGCTGCAGATAACACTAAGCAGAAAATAGGAAAATTAATGACTGGATGCCCTAGGGGGGAAAAGGAAATCAAAAGATAAGGTTAACATAAAATGCTATTACCAAAAACCAAAGCAATTTACTTGAAAATTAAATCCAGCTCAAAATGCCGTGAAATCCATTCATCCATATTTTTCCAGCTTTATCTAATTTAGAGCTGCATAGGAGCCGGAGCCGGAGCCTGCAACAGCAAGAAATGGGCACGAGCCAGGGTACACCATGGATGGGACACACGGACACACGGAGCAGGGCCAATTTTCCCAGAAGCCAGTTAACCTATCAGTATGTTTTTGGACCGTGGAAGGAAACTGGAGCACCTGGAGGAAACCCAATCAAACACGGGGAGAACATACAAACTCCACACAGATAACAGAGAACACCTGAGGTCCGCAATTGAACCCAGGGCCCCAGCACTGCAAGGCAGCAATGCTGACCACTGCGTCACTGTGCTGCACATGCGGTGAAATGATATTCGCCACATTTAATGATTAAAGAAGGATGGTTTCATAGAGTATCGTGAAACATCAACATCTACTGTATGAACAACAGAATGGAAGAACGAGAGGGTGGAGAATTGCAATCCATCATGATCCAGGCAGCAGTTCAGGTAAATGTGAGTGAGATGATAAACACCTGATAGTTTAGCTGACCATGACCAATGTTAATGTTTGGTTCCATATGTTCCACCCTGCCTTTGACCTCTACAAAACATTCTGTCCCAGTGATGGCCTGGGTGGACCAGAGAAGCTTCATTGATGTCAAGAGCTTTGTACCCAAATTCGTTAGGAGAGAACCACAACAGGAGTCTTGTTCTCTCACCTGTGCTGGAGGTCAGTGACTGCTGCCGGCACTTCTTGAACTGGAAGCGCTTCACCGCGACTGGCAGGCCCTTGTATTTGGCTTTGTAGATGATGGTGCCACTACCGCCCTGGCCCAGGACATTGTGTTCCTCCTCGCTGTACTCCAGGTCGCTGTTCTCCAGAAACAGCCTGCAGCAAAAGACCAGCCCAGGTCACAGTCGGACCAACCAGACAGCGCTCATTCTGAAGACCCTTCGTGACCTCCATTCCCCTGCCATTACCGACTCGGGCGTGAAGCGAAATACTCTGAAGGTCTGTGCAGTGCTTCCTCTCCTCGAACAGCAAACAACAACTCAAATATGATAAAATTACACAAGCTTGGCATACTGTACATGATGCAAAACACAGATGCTAGTACTATGTAAATTGCGAATTTCACCATTGTTAGTCTGAGGCCAATTATATTGTTTGTCCAATTAGGCAATTAGGGACCTTAGAATTGCAATGATTTCCTTCTTAACATTGAAAACATTACCACACAACCATTTATCGAAGAAAAAATAAAATAAAATCAAAGGAATTAAGTAATAATCAATACAGTACATTTATCATGTGTTCATTTTATTAGTTTAATAATTAATTGGATTTTTGTTTCAGTTTTCAAGCACTTGGAATCTTCCCCAGACTGTTTACTGATGTTTATTTTGCCTTGAAACACTATATTTTTTTCCCCCAACAACTGAACAAAGCACAATGTGTTTTTGCTTGATTGCGCAGAAAAAAATATTGCAAACCACACAATTGAAAAATGTTCCTTCTAGGCACCATCTGTTATTAAAATAAAACATGCTTTTCTTCTAGGCAACAAGCTGAAAATACATTAAAACTTGTGCTCATTTATTAAACAAAGCAACAAAATACTATAAAAATATATTAGTGTTCCTTAGTGTACTGTTGATGTAAAACATTGACTTATATGAAGAACTGAGTTAATTATGTTCTCAACTCTTTCTTCATTTCTAAGAATTATAGTTTGTTTGTAAGAATGCATAAATGTCTTTGTTTAATCCGTCACAGTAAATTCCTGACCTTTCCCTTTTGAAAGTTTTGCAGGACGATAGTAATAACACTTGTCAAACTGCCATAATACAGTAGGCTTCACTTAATGTCAGCACAGATGGCCTTTGTTCTGTTCAAGAATTGTATATTAAAGAATCACTTCTCAATCTAAATGCACATTAAAATGTTTATATCAGATGCCATTTTTGAAAAACTGTCGTCAACAATGACCAAACGTAATATCTCTGTAATGGTAGGTTTAAAAGGGCTCCTTATTCTCAAAGCTCCCTGTTCATTCCACTTTTCCCTAATAGTCCTCTGTGTTGAGAAACTGGTGAGGCTCTAGAAATGAACTCTATATATTTGGTACATGCAGCATTTTAGTTTTTAGACAAGAAGCCAAGAAAAATGACATACCTGTATACTATGAATCTTTCCCTACATTCCAGTCTTTTAAAACACTTGCATCCACACACAAGTATCTTTACAAAATGAAGACAAAGTAGATATCGGGTAGAAACGATGATCATCTAAAAGGTATGTTCTGCCATGAATCTGTCAGACCACTTCACCACTTCAGGCTTTAGGGGAAGCTAACCCTAAGCATGTGTATGATGACCAGTAACAGCGCACAAAATAGAGTGATGAACCTAAATCACACAATTTGCAATTTATATACAGTACTTTATAATTCCCAACAATTTATAATGTAATCATTTATTATCCCCATCTAGGAATTGGCTTCGTTGCTCTATTCTTCTCCCCACTGATAGCTGGTGTGTGATGAGCGTACTGGAGCATCATCCAGGCGGGGCTGCACACCGGTGGTGGTGGAGGGGAGTCCCCATTACCTGTAAAGTGCTTTGAGTGGAGTGTCCAGGAAAGCACTATGTACTGTAAGTGTAAGCAATTATTATTAATTATTGTATACTGTACATGTACAAAATGTGTCACATTAATTCAGTAAATGAGAAACAATGAAAAAATACGTTTTGGTTAAATGCACAAATTCATAGTGTCCAAAATGTGTCTCCCCGGCTGTGACTGGTTTTGTTTTTGCCCTGAAGGAACGGCTGTCGTACCGCGCAGGGAAGTCGGTCATGAAGAGCTCGGGGACGAGCTCCTGCAGGGGCACGGGCTGGGCAGGGTGGTTCGGACACGCGATGTGCTCCTGCTCCACTGCCGCGATCACGCAGTCCTCCATGTTGAAGTAATGCGTGCCCTTGGCCTTCACAGGAGGCTCTTCCTCTTCCCTGGTCACTGTGGCACAAGAGGGGCAGGGCGCGTACTGCTCTATGAGCATGCTGCCATCATTCTCACTGGCCGTCAAGGCTAGCAAGGAAAAAAAACAACCGTCAGTAAGAACATATACAGAAAACACAATTCAGTTGAATTCCACAATTCACGTACAGTGACGTGACATGGAGAACTACAACCCACAGAAAACTGCTCAAGTCTGTAGTTCAAACAACTATCCCGCTTTTAACCATTTACACCCAACTGGTACATTTTGAAGAGATTAAAAGGTAAGGATGCAATAACAGTTTTGTTTATTAATCACAAAGTGGAAGTGGCATTGGTCTCAAAGGGCAGAATCACAGATCCCTCTTAAAGACAAGTTATCAAATCTTCTTAAAGAAGTGAAAGGCCCCTATTGCCTTTATACTATATGCAGAAATACAGTATAAATTCTCACTACTGCTCCATATTTGCTTCATAATAAAGTATTTCCAATTACTTCATTATAAACTAGGTCTGGGATCAGGTGTAGATAAATAAAGTGCGTTAGTTTACTACCAAGACAGGGGAGCTGAACCTAAAAACACCAGTCGAGGGGTTGTATCGAACCAACTCATGCTCACTATTTACCAATGAGGTTGTACACCAAGCTATTGGGGCTCCTTGAAACTTGCATGCTAAATAATTTGAACCCAATTAACCCAATTCAGAGCTGCACTGCAGCAGCATTTCTTATAAAAAGATGCTTTCACTGTCCCAGTGATTACAGTGATTGACAGGAAGCCAGTGAAAGAAGAACTTATGAACAGGCTCACCAGGAAACCACTGATCTATCAGAGAATTGACATGGTCAGTGATGAAAGCCATGGCAGAGAAGTCTCTCATTTCTGACTGGCAGATTATTTTAATTCCTCCACTTTTCTTCTTCTTCCAGTTAAGATCCGATGACTCAACACTGTGAGAACAATTAAAGAAAGATGTAAACTGCAATTACACAAGGGGATTAAGTCAGTTTCCATCTTTCTAAATACAGCTTTCCAGCTTCCTCCAGTTCACGTGATACTCAGTCCCGTCGCTCTCAACTTTTAATGTTCCATGCCAGAAGACTGAGGTATATAACGGATCACTCTCACATTATAGGAAGCACCTGTAATTAAGACACTGAATCATTCAGAAAGAACAGTGGAATGAAAAAGCCCCCTTCTGTTTTTCTGTTGACTTCATAGAGCTGCCCCATGGGCTAGTTATACATGTCCACCTCTTTAAATTAATTACAGGTTTTATCTAGACAATGAAACACTAATAAACTGCATAATGGAGTAGTTGATGTATCTTGTTACTATTTATTTTGGTGATTTAGAGTTTAATCAAACTACATAGGATGGGACATTAAATGCAGTGCAGTGGCACAGTGTCTGTGCATGGGGGCACTGCACATATACTGTACCTCGAAGAACCTCACTTTGTGGCTGAAATGTCTGAAATATATATTATTATTATGTCATAATCTGCAACATCCTCACTCTACTATTAATTCTCTTCAAATAAAACTGTGAATGATGGACATACATAGTACTGTATACGCTGAGTATTTATGTCATGTTCATAAGAGACCAGGATCCTAAACTGGCGGTCTTAGAAAAATGACTGTTGTTATTATTTACGTTTACCTGAGCTTAAGAAAAAAACTAGATCATCGATCACAGACTGAAAATTAATGAGCAATACACAACTATTTTGTGTACTCTGTTTTACATGTACTGTAATGATTACAGCATTGTACATTCCTAAAAAATAACACACATTGCCCATTTATAAGTTAAGACTAGTTCCAAGTTGTTAAATACACCTCAGGTAGCCTCCGTCAAATGTAACCAGCAGTCCTTCCTTCCAATAGATAGTTTGGCTTCTTCTGACTCGAAACGTGCTACATCGGTTCCTCTGCTGATTCCCTGCAAAGCTGTAAATGCTCGTCCTCCTGTTCCGCAGGGTCTTTGTGTTCTTCCGGTTTTCAAACGACTGAAATGAAAGATGAGAATCACCTTCCACATCAAGATGTGAACCCATGTGAATGGATCTCAGACATTCCTGTTGGGAGACCTGCTTCTGAGCAACACCAGAGGAGCTCTTTGCTGCAGGACACCAGCAGAAATGCTGCATTTCGATTTCAATAGCTGCGATTCCCTGAGCGAATGCACTAGAGTACTCTTTATTTTCTAACTCATCAGGAGAATAAAAACTATTTTTCCATTCAGAGTAGGTTACAATTATGCTGATGCTACATTTTTTGTCCTACATCATATTTTTATTGTGGTTCATATTAATAAAAAATGTATCAAGAATGCGTGGATGCAGACTGGTTAAGAAACAGCTGCTGTTCTCATTAGCATTAATATGATTTACTACCCAGGATTCTCATTAAGGGGGAATTTTAGTAACCATGTCTCTTGCAGACCTTCAGAGTATGAACAGTCCATGATTGATTTTTGTCCAACATGGACTTCTCCTGCTTGTTGCATTGTCTAGAGAGCCTGTGTACCTGGACGTCCATCTCATTAAGGCTAATTAACATCCGGGCTATGAAGCGTTCCCAAAATCCAGCCGGGACAAAGCTCATTTTGAAGAGCCTCTGGATGGTGTTGGTCGTCTGCTGGCGAAGACCGTGGATATCCAACCCGGGCTTGGGAGGCAGAAGATGAGGTAGCAGGTAACTACAAGACACCGTGAAACAGTGTAAGCAGAGTCTCTGGCAGCCCAACTTCAGATCAGTTGATGTCCCTACCAGTGCACCTCTGTGGGATGCAACTGTACATCTGCCTGGGCAGGTGTTGCTGGTACTGAGGTGTGCCAGAGCTAGTATACTTAAGATTGTCCAATTTCTGTCCTTTAATTTACGCAGAAAAAGAGATTCAGATCTTAGATCATTGTAATTGATTCGGCATATCAAACTCATAATGGAATGGATGACTACAACTACTGAGCAACCGATTCACCCATCATTCATAGACAAATCCCAAGATAATGCATGGCATACTCATTTGGTTTGAACAGACTTTGTGCTTTTTGTAATTAAACTCGTACAGCTGATATTGCAATATCATACCAAATCATAAATCTGAAAGCAAATCATAATAGAAATACAATACTGTACTCAACATATACCGACGTACAAAAAAAATACAACATTCAATGGATGTACTGTAATGAAACATTTTAAACACAGATATTAATCAAAGAACCCGTCTATAAATACAAATAACCATGATAATATGAATTCAATATGAAATGTGAATCCCTTTTAAAAATTACATAGAACATTAACTGGCAGGACTGAAGAAGAAATTAGCTCAGCTTCTGGACAGACTGTTGGGAGATGTTCCACCAATCTTCCTGAGCAGCTTCAGCCAGCTGGAGGAAGTTGGCCTGTTGTGGTTGCCGCCTTTTGATATCTTTGGCATGTTTGACCCACAGATGTTTTATTGGACTCGTATCAACAGAAAAAGCCGGCCACAGCAAGACCTCAAAATTGTTTTCTTGAAGTTATGCCACAGTACTACTACCACTGTGTGGTCCTGCACTGTCCCAGTGGAAATTCGACACTACTGGATGGGCTTGCAGGAACAGAAAATCTGTTGGATATACATACAGTAGGACTTCAGCAACATATTGCTGAGCAGTAAGATCGCCCTTGAACTGCACCAAGGGCTTTCTTATGTTAAGATTCTTACTCATATTCATTCTTAATGACATTGTCACACTTCTGCTTCCTCACCAGTACAACAGTCAGGATAATATTCATCATGACATCACACATTTTCTCCCATCAGGTCAGGTCAATGACAGAGCAACCTTCCTCAGTGAATGAACAACTCTCTGACACACCTCATATGACCCACAGAAGGTGGCATTTTTTTTTTTTAATCGCCTGTCAACATGTTTCCTAATGAAAAACCTCCAAGTGCAAAGATCCATCTATCCAGTTGAGGTAGTCATTATGCTGACACATCAGTTATTTCTTCCTTGAGTTTCTTGTGCTACAGCCACTTCAGTCAGAAACTGATTACATCGATCAGATGGTGGAGATGGTTCTAGCCCAGTGCAGTGGGCTTCTGCCTTCCAGATGTGGACTGCCTTACCAAATGAGTTTCGTTGATCTCTTCAGCTGATTGCTGAAGCTGCGCACCTCATTCTCATCGTCTGGGCAACATCTCGCACAGAAACGTAAGTGGATGGACTGCAGTGATGAAACTCATCCCAGTTAAATGGAGTGCAGCGTAACATTCACACTTCACTGAGTTGCAGACTGTAAAAAAGGGTTTTAATCATTCCAATAACGGCCAGGTGATCTTTATTACCCAAGTGGGGCGGGATCATACCCTCTTGGTCATTAGTGTTCTATGCATTAATTAAAATCTTTCTTTTGGAGTGGCTGTTTATATACTGTAGCTGCTGCTGAATTCGTTTTGGCAAGTGCAACTTAACCTTGCATACCCAAAACTTACCTATTACTGGCAACAGGAAGGGCAATTTCAAATTTGGCCAGAAACTGGAAATACTGCTCCTCGGACTGCTCAGTGAAGCCAGTGCCCACCAGCAGCATGCGGAGGTCTTCAGCCTTGATCACTCCGTTCCTGGCCACAGACTTGGAACTCTTAATGTGGATGATCCTCTCCAGACACTCAGACAGCCACACCGCATCCAGGAAGTAGAGATTGCACAGGCCGTGACTGGTGTCAGGGAAATGGAGCAAGTTGCCCGTCTCAATCAGGTAGCTGATCGCTGTCACAACGACACAGTGTGGAACAGTTTAACTACACCACATTTAACATTCACAGCCTTAAATCTGTGCCAGACAGGTGTTTGCACAAAAACCGGGCCTGCATTTTGATCCAGTTTGTTTCTGCTTGGAGACCTGTGGTTTATGACTTTAACACACAGCTTGTATACAGTAGATTCACTGCTCCTGTTTCTCTAACCTCCTGTTGGTGACACAGTAAACTTTGTTTGATAAAACCCATCATATTTAAATGGAGCGTGGTGAAGTGTGCAGTTCTCTTTTTACAGCACATGTTTGACATGTTGAACAGCTTTCTATGAAACTGACTAAGTTAACAATGAGAACTGGATGTTGATATTAAAAGAGCAAATGCAGAGATGTGGGATATTTAACATTCCTCCAAACTGGACATGTGTCTACACTTTCCATGGCTGTCTTTTACTGGTACATTTGTTCATTTGATTTTCATATTTTCCATTTGTATCTAAGTCCCACTGGTGTGGTTTTCATTACAGAAGAAAGATGTATTACATTAAAATTTCAAATGCAATTCCAGGATGACGTTCTGTTCCTTGGTAGCTTTTTATCATAACCCTATGCATGATAATCCTGTAATTTTCACAAACTCATATTCAGAACATTAAGAACTAGAAATTTACTGTTTTTATTGGTATCACTTCATGTTGATTATGAACAACTAATGGTATCATTTCTCCTGCTCTGGATATGAACTGGCCTGACATACAGAAGTGTCTCTAGTCTGTTTCGGGAAGAAACAATGGAGTCACCAGTTTGCAGATCCTCATAGTCTTTGATGTCGCTGTCGGGATTCTGCTCTATGATGTTTTCCAGCTGGAGGTCCGTCAGATACTGCACCTCGTCAGCCAGGTCCCTCCTCTGCCTCTCTGTAATCACAGCATCTTGGAGGAGGAGGTAACTTTTTGGGATCTGCAGAGAAACCAGGTTCATTCACTGGGCATCAGTGAGATGGATTGAACAAGAGCCCTCAGCATTAGATCAGACATTCAATTTTCATAAACAGTGTTTATTTTTTAATAGGAGCTGGTGTAAAAGACAACATTTTTTCCATCAGTTTTCCAATCAGAGAGGACAAGATAAGCTTAGAAGTAATACAAGGGGACAAATTGTCCCTTGCACAGAGAATTTGAGCTCCTTCCATATGGGCATCAATTGAGATTACCCAAAATCATGTGCAATAGAACTTTATCTTTGATTCCCACAGCTATTAACACCTGCTTCATGACAACAAATGTCATCATGCATGCATCTTATGTATCTATCACACACACACTGATAACCTTTTTTTCTTTTCTACATTGTAAAGATTACTTAAGCTGCTAACTTTCTCTTTTTTCTCATCTAACGGATGTATGTTTCTCATTTGTAAATGGGTACAAGCATTAAACGTATTATATTTTGTATTATGTCTGGTACCTGCCATCTGGGACAATAAAGAAAAGAAGGAAGTAAATCTTCTTAACACCCCCCCCCCCCATTAACAGCATTAAAGTGCTGAAGTGCAATAGTAACCCTGCTCAATATGAGAGCAGCCACAGGTTCAGACATTGGGTGTCTGTGCTTGGCTGAGGAGCCAAAGGTATGAAGCCCCAATCCGAGGGGTTATGACTGAATGCCTGAGTGAGGATCCCCCCTAAACAGTATGATATTTGAAGTTAGCTTTGTTAATAGGGGAAATCTGCACTGCCTGGAAATACCACAGTAACCTGGCATGGGGATTGCCCCACGCAATCCACTCACCAGCCTTCCTACCAGCTTCTGGGAGCTTGCTGAGCTGGTCATGTCTTTCATGGAGCAAGCCACCTGAAATATCAGCCTTCGCAAGCCATCCAGACCCTCCAGATTTTTACAAGACACTTCACTGCAAAAGAATGGAAAGAAGAGGGACATGTTCAAAACTTCTGCCTAGACTTTATTTCCCAGATATTCTGACCCCTACAGGGAAGGGCTCCTAATAATCTATTCTTAGAGAATGCTGACTGAACTCTTTTTTGCAAACTTGCAATTTCAGCAGTTTCAAGCTATGAGATAATGGGAGGTACACTACAGTGAATGACAAGGTGAAAAAAGCATGCCTGGAGCTATAGTGTGACACTATAATCTGAGACAAGGCACTGTGATATAGCTGTAGTTGTCATTAAATGAACTGTCTAGTCAGGCAATCATAAGATAAATGCAGATTACTGACTGGAGGTGTTTCCAGGTGATGTCAGGGTAGCCTGTTGCCCTGGCTCCAGAGGGAGAGCGGCAAAGTGCCAGGATGTAGGCGCGTAGGGTGGCGATCCTTTCCGTCCGGAATTTAGTGTCGATGAGATCCAAGTGGGTGCCCACCACAACCACAGCAGCACTGGGTGCCCTGGCCTGTCCAGTCAGAGCAAGAAACTTGTTCACAAACGACAAAAAGGCTACTGGCGCTCTTTAAGGACACAGTATCAATTTCTAATAGAAATCTCATGGCGAATTGGTTTGTTTTTTTTCAAATTACTTTTTTTTTAGCACTTCTATTCTATGTTTCTATTACTTTTCCTAAAAAAACTAACTTTGTCCGAGAGACAGGACTCCATGTCTCCGAATGCAGAGGAACATTTGGGAACAGCAGTTACCAGGTGTAACACCACATGTCATCAACACTGCGTCACACCCGATATACTGTATGGTAAATGCAAAAAGCACTAAGCGAGAAGAGACACAGTGCAGTATGGGCATGTTGTGGAATGAAGATGACAGACAAATCAAAGAAAGCCCCAGCTAAGCCATGCCAAAGCTGCATCAAGCCTCCCAGCCACAACAGCAGACTATATCCCACTGCAAGAGACTACAGCAGCTGTCACAGCCCTGTCACTGCCTCAGGATCACTGAACACGGCCCGGGATGAAGAACAGAGCACCAATAAAAACAGGCTCCTCCGAGAGATGCAGTGGCCTCTTTTCTTACCTCAATATTTAATAACCAGGACTGCAGGTTAGCCACAGCCTCCTCCCCCAGAGCCAGGTTCCAGATGACTACATACAGAGCCTTGTCCGTAAAGAAACACTGATTGACTGTGGACATGCTGGCAGGGCCTCCGATGTCCCACACATTGAACTCCACTGAATCCGTCTATTCACACAAGATAAGAACAAACCGCTGTGTAACAGGGAAATAATGCACTCACTGTCTCCATCACTCTCACAGATCTACAGTATGAGTTAATTATAAACATGCACATGAAGTGGTTTATCTGGAGTCTTTTGCATTATTTCTGTATCTCACCCTGTTAACTCTTCATCTTCAGAAGATGCTTTAGATTCAGAGGTTATTTATGCTGCTGTTGACATGTGTATAACATGACAAAAGTAATATTTTGCAACAGCGTGTATAGTGAAGGTTGCCTTTATATAGCCCTAAAAAGACACTAGCATGGCCCAGTGAACATTTAGCATAACCAGTCCAGTGTAACAGATCAACAGATACTGTGATGCAACCACAGCTTGAGTGTTTCTAGACACAGACATTATTTTCAGCCTCATTAATAGACTGGAATTTTACTAAACGGAGGGATCAAGATTAAGCAGTAATACTCCTGTGAATGTTTTCCTTGGGATCTTACAAGACATACTATTAAATGCCTCAGCCATTCAACTCAAGACAGACAGGAAATTGACTCAGCCACTGCTGAGAAGTCATGTCAGAGCTGCGCTTGGGAACAGTCAGTAGATGTCTGTGAGTAAAAATTGTGGATCTGCCTTCATAAAGCTTCCACTTCTATTAAAACGCACGAGGGGAACCCTTGTAGATAACCTTTTTAAAATAAGTAGTATTTAAAAAAGATATTTTAGTAAATAGAAAAATTATAACATTTTATTTTTTTCTTACATATTGAGGATACACATACTGTCTTGTGTTCAGGGTGTTCAACGTAATGTGTGAAAAGTAATTGTAAAAAACTTGTAAAGCCTATGAAACAGAATCACACTGGACTAGAGCTTCATGGAATTCAGATCAGAGTAGAGATTTTGGAGCACATGAAAACACATTTCAGCCTTAATTCCCATTGAGACACTCTATGGCATGAGACACTGATATGACTCACATGGGATTTGACCCCACTGGGTCTGTCCAGTGTCCAGGTGGAGGTCCTGATGCTGCACTCAGTGGGCAGGAACTGAGTCACTCTGCCTGTCTGCAGGGTCTCCAGCAGGGTGGTCTTTCCCTGTCTTGGAGGCCCCACCACGATCATCTTCAGGAGCCTGCACTTCTCCGCCTTCCTCAGGTGAGCTCTTAGGAAGCCCAACACAGCAGCTGGACCTGGGACAGAAGGAGTGTGAGCTGAACTTACAGGAAGCCCAGGAGTAAGGAGTGGCAGGAAATCATGAGAGTGTGACTGTATAGCAACCAGAAGAGCAGTAAGAATACTTACAGCAGCATTTCTTTTCTGAAGCTTTTCTGAATCAGTTTTCAGATCAACTTTTGGGTTCTGTCAACCACTCAAATGAAATGAATGAACGCTGCATTCACTTTGACAAATTTCAATGATTTCAAGTTTTAAACAATTAACTTTGCAAATTCTCTCCTCAGAGTAGAGCTTTTTTTCCGTTTTATAAAAGCGTTACTAAGCTGACATTATGACACTCTTTTGTAAGTCATTTGACGATAAGCAGTCCTGCCATGCTGATCATTACAATACTATCAACATATCTGGCAAAAGAAACACATTTTGAGAAACGGAAAAATAAAGTTTGACTGTGAGTCTCTGAAGTGTAAACAAAAAAACAGCTCATGCAGTACATGTTTTTAAGTGAGATAAAGTGAATATTTTGCAGAGAAAGGAAAGATTACCCTGGCCAGCACACACACGTGCTCAGTTTTGTATGAGAATATTACCTTCATTCCTGACCTCCACAGGAACATTACTGATGTTCAGGTCTTCAATATCTAGCTGCCAAAGATTAGACAGCTGTCCCAACTCATGAGGTAACTCACGGATTCCAGGATTGCTGAACACAAAATGGCGTGAGATCTCCAGTCAATAGCCAGACCAACAAGAACTGATAATGATCTAGGTATAGGCAATTTCTGGATGATGATCAGCACTTTTTCCTATTTTATGCAGCAAAGTACTTAAATACATTTTTATAGACTCACAAATGGAGGATGAAAATAATAAACAGCAATTCTTCTCTACTACATATTTAAATGCAGCTGTGCAGTTCCTAAATAATTCTGCTACATTAGCAGCACCCATAATATCTGAGGTAAAAGAAAAGGCCTCATGATGAATTCTTAAAGAATCCCTCATTTACATTTCTTGGCCATTTTACTTCGAGGTAGAAAAAGCAAATGGGAGTTCGAACCCCAGGTTCTCACAACCGAGAATCATACCCTTAGACCAACGAGCCACAAATACAGAGCGCTCTACAGAACAAGCTAAACGTCAGTGGCAAACAAGTATTGAGAAAAAGGCCTTTTCTGTGAGCAATAACCTTTCTGAATAAGAATCCCACTTTTCTTCCTTGAAACTCTAAGGCTGTTTTATGTACTGTACATTTATTAAGCCTCTTCTCTGTTGCTTTACAAAAAAAGCAAGTGTGCACTGTACTTTTACAGAAGTACCACATGGCAAATTAAACTTGTACAAGGAAGTTCACAGATGGGAACAGAATTGAGTTACAGTGTGCTGCATCTTTTGTCTTGGCTGTCAGGGCTACTTACTTAGACAGATAGAGCTCAGTAAGGTTCTTCAAACTGCACACTGACTGAGGCACTGACTCCAGCTGGTTATCATTCAAGAACAGAACCTCCAAACAATCCCGCAGAACTCCAGGGAATTCTATGGAACACACTGAAAAGAAAACCACACACAAGGCGCATGAGAATATTGGTGACAACATCCGTGATATCAAACACTCATTCACTTGCGGACAGATCCAGAGCTTTTTCCCAGATGCAATATTTTTCTTTTATGTGTCAAACAGACATGTTCCCGGGTGAGATGCAGTCGTCGAAGATCTTGAACACACACACATTAGCTGTTCAGGATTAAGGTTGCACAATTAGCAATAAATGATCAAACTTTGTCATGTCTGGATGGTACTACGTTTTAAGCAATGAGGAGAAGAAGCAGATTCAGGCAGCCTTTAAAAAGGACATTTTTCCTCTAAGTTGTAAAGAGAAACCTCCATAACCAAAGTGTCAAGTGAGCTCAGTGGGATCATGCACAGTGATAACACTGGCAGCACTCACAGCTTCAGTGTCTTGAGTTCGACTCCAGGAGTTAACCCACACCAACACAAGAAGAGCATGTACTTCCCAGGTTTCCTCCCAACTCCCAAAGATATGCTGGTAATCTGGATTGGCTGCTGTAAGAGTTCTGTTTGTCTATGACCCTTGAATGGACTGATGTCCCACCTAGGGGAAGAGGGAAGGTAAGGTTCTCACCAGCCTTCTCCCGTCTGGGACAGGCCGTGACGCTCACCACTGATAACGGGGGGGCTCAGTTCACAGTACAGGTAAGAACGTTTTTGAATCAATAATCTACTAGTAAATAAACAATATGGCCGCCTCACATGTGTATCCGTTCTTTCCCACTCCCTTTCCAGAATCCACATACCTGAATCTGGGTCTCTCCGGTTCCATGTCGTAAAGAAGGCCAGCTTTCTAGTCCTCACTCCCTCATCTGTCCTACAGGGAATAAAAAAAGCGCATTGTAAGTTTTCTTTAGAAAATACTTAAATGTATATGTGAAAACCTTATGCATGGAAATAGGGGACCGCTCAGTATTATTGTTAACATTTTATCAGTGGACTATTTTATTGGCCTTCGCTCACCTTGAGAAGATTAGTCCAACTCTAAACACCAGTGCTTAATGTAAGACATATGTCAATGACGTACTGTATACGGAAGGATTCTCTGGTTTTTAAAAGACAACTGAAGAAACCAGAGAAAGTGCAACAGAATCAATGATAGCAGAACTCCTGAAACAGAAGGTAATATTTGAGCACATACTTCCCTAGCTGGTTCTTGGAAAGATCGAGTGTTTTTAGCTGAGAGCATGTCCACTTGTTTGGTGATGGCAGGGTACACAGCTGATTACCACTCACTTTTAATGAGACCAGCCCCTGTTGAAGAAATATAACAGTTACAACACAGTACAGCAGTCTGCAAAGGAGATAATCTAGTGAACAATCCAAAGATCTGCTGTTGCGGTTAACATTAAATAAGAAGTCCTTTCAATTTTACTTACAAACATTTTTCAAGATGCGCTAAACAGTTTCAAGCACTTTGTACTACACATTTTCATAATGCTGCCAACAGTTTTAAGAAGTGTAAATATGTTTTAATTAGATCCCCTGTCATCAACTTTATGATTTGCCATTCAGCCTCCTTAAATGAGATCCACTGACAAAGTATCATTCAGGCACATTGTTTTACTTTGTTATTTGTACAAACACAATGAGCACGTAAAGAGAAATGCTATGTTAACAAAACAGAAATTTAAACCCACAGTTGGACTGCATGCATGGCCTGCTCAGCTGTTTGTTTCATTAACAGCTCCACCTTGTGGATGATGGCTTAGAAGCTTAAGTACAACCTCTAGATTTATGGACTGAAAAATCTTCAGTTTTAAGTCTGAAATCTTTTAGTTTTGTGGTTACACTGTTCCGTGTTAAAAAAAACAGCCATCTTGTGTCCTGTCAGAATTACCTCCAGCTGAAAAATATATGATGGCAACTGCTTCAGGTTGTTTTCAGAGAAATCAACTTCTTTCAGATGATTCTTCCAGAAGATGGAAATAGTGTCCGGAAGGTTCTCTATGCAATTGGAGGAAGCCTTGCAGTATTTCTGCAGATTTCAAGCAAAAATGAAAATCACTGTAGAGCTTCAGTACTCTTATTTTCCCAATTTCCACCACTAGGATACAACAACCTTTTTAGACAGAACCTGAACCCCTATGTTACAAAACATTTCTATGGATCCAATTAAACCCCTCCATGCTTTTTTAAAAACATATCGTACAGTATGTCCGAGCAATGTCTGCCCTGTGGTATTTCACAGAGATACAACTTGGCTTTCTTACTGCTCCTGGAGTAGAGGCAGAGACCACCTCAACTCTGCTCACTCTGTACCTACCAAAGGACATGCCCAGGGGTCTGGAAACTCTTTAAGTTTGTTTCTGGAAACATTCAGGCTGATGAGAGATTTGAAGCAGTGAAGAGTTGGACAAGGAAGTGTGGCGAGTTGGTTGTCTGAGACGTCAAGTTCCTGTAACTTCCGAAGTCCAATCCAGTTGGTTTCTGAAATGAGGCAGTGAACTCTTACAGATACCCAGTCAAAGGATAGAAAGGCTTTTCTATACAGACAGGGATCTGCTCTTTTCAAGATCTGTCAGACTATAGACAGCTGATCCAGGGCACTGTGCCTAATCACAAAAAACACATTTCTCCCTACTTGGGGTTCTAACACCAACAAGATTTACAAGACTTTCAAGATCTAGGTTTATCTAAGGTCTCAACTTGCAGTAACCTTCTCAGTGCATAATATACAGATCAAGTCAATTATTTTACCATTCCCTAACATCGGTTTAATCCCTGATCACAGCTACCATCTGGGAAAAGATATTTTTCCCACAGGCTGTCAGGCTCCTCAACACCCTGGAATCCACTTGCACCCACTCCGATTCCAGAAACAGGGTTTATATCCCCCCAGTGTGTTGTTTATATTGTATTATGTATTTACCATGTCATTTGCACTTGGCACTATGTGTATCCTGTCTACAATGTCTATGTCAGTGTCCTGTCTGTATTTGCACCGCGGACCAGGAAGAATGATATTTCGTTCCACTGTTTACTAATTATTTGTCAGACAGACACCTAAGATCACAAATGCTGTCATATTAATATTGTACCGAACATGAAACTGTTTGAAAACATAAACAGCAAAAGAATTTAAAACTTGCAGTTTTTCAGTTTACGGCCATTTCCAATGAATGATTTATAAATATGTCTTGTTTTGCACTAAGGAATCTTTCATTTTCCTTTCAAAAGTGGCTCCCAACACACAGAGGCAGAACAGATTAAAATTTCATGCCGAAGTCTGCATCACACTGGAAAAAGATGCTTTTAGGATACTAATGGAGACTGTAAGAGGGATTAATTTATTTAAAGATCCCATAATAATAAATTAATCATCCATGTTCACATTTTATTCCATCCTTGAGTTTTCGTGTTGATGTTGACAACTCTGGTGTTCGAAATGTGAAGAGATGTGTTGATTAAATAACCAGGTTCAGTCGACTATTCTGTAGAAAAAATTGCCTTTTTAGGGTAACAGGAAGCTGAAATTTCCAATTTCAGCCCACGCATTTCATCACATTTGTACTTATGTGTTTTTCACCTGTAAAACCTTCTGTATGACCAAGCAGCCCTGCCCCTTCATGTGAGCCCACTCTTTGTGACTGACATTGTTGCTACATCGTACACTACCGTACCATTTGGAACATCGAATAACATCACCAGCTTGTTCTTTGCTGCTATGAGCTTCTGTAGGCTTTTGAGGTGTAACAGCCCGGAGGGAAGACTGACCATCTCATTTTGCGAAAGGTTGATCTCGCGTAACCTTTAAGAAAAAGAAAATACCCAGACTGAGCACAAAAGATCCATGTGATTGCTTCATAATTAAACCAAAAACACACCAACAGCGAAAAGCAATGTATCTTAAGATATTGTCAAGCAGTGTTTTCACTGAAGACATAATAATCCTCACTTTTGTAGATACTGGTGGGTACTTTACTCCCACATACTGTACAATGTTACTGTACCATCTGTGGGATTATGACTAATGCTTCTGAAACAGAATCCCTCCTAAAAATTGGGATTCAACCGTAATCTACTTTTTTAACTGCTGGTTGTAAACGTATTTTTGCTCAGTTGGATTCTGTAAAAAAACAGGCCTCCCTCCTGATGGGAAGCGGACACACACCACGTGCAGATGATTTCTTTGGAGGAGCGGCCAGCGGGCAGGTCTTTCAGCTGATTGTCGGAGAGGTCAAGGCGCTGCAGGTGGATGAGCCCCCAGGGGACGACAGAGGGCAGGTCGGAGAGGCTGTTGGAGGAAAGGTCTAGCTGGGTGATGCGGCACGAGATGTCCATGAGCCAGTCCAGGTCCAGCCAGGGCAGCTTCAGCTGGGCCCAGCGCACCGACAGAGCCTGGAGGAGACACAGACGCAGAAAATCAGTCCCTGACTTTCATTCGTAGACTGTGTGTGGGTTAGTTAGAAAAAGCTCTCAGTATGGCAAAGGTATCAACGTCTCAGAATTTAACATTCACAAATTCGCTAGTTCGCGATGCGGTCTGGCCAACAGGATCTTGTATGGAAGAAGAGCCAAGCAGGATGAAACTGAGCCAAAGGTGGTTAAGCACATCTTGCAAATGAGCTGCTCAGTTAACTAGAATCATGGGACCAATCTAGCTAGTGAGTGAGCTTCTCCCTGCCTCCTGCCCAAGCACCCACTACCCAGCATTCCCATGTCAGCGTGCTCTTGTATCTGTATTGTAACGTCAGTGTAGAAGGCGTGAAGAATGATAGGCTGGAGATGACTTTACAGGTTTAATCGCCCTTTTCATCATGGAGGCAGAGACACAAAGTGCAGTTTTATTTTAACTAATTTCTAGAAGCTGGTGATGACTACTGTTTGTTTGAATCAATCAATGTTATTTTAAGTAACTTAAATTTAAACTTTAATTAACTTCAAGCCAATACATTAGTACTGGAGATAACATACTGTACAAGAGATAGCATAAGGTTATTTATGACCTTTATGACCTATACATACTACTGCATATACTGTAGAACATTACACAACAGTACATGGGGTGAATTAGGTTATATGCCAAACTGGCCATTAGCAACAGTTCTCTGCCCCAGACCTTCATGAATGTCGAAACCCTACTGTATTCCCTTACACAACTTCTCTTCATGTTTATGGAAGTAAAACAAAATCTCAGCTATGTACGGAGATCTGTATAGAGAAAAAGCTACAAACTCCATGACTGTGAAAATCAAAGATGAGAAAAATCCACAGCTGTAAAGAGAGAAGCATGAATAAAAAAGAGGAGACAGAGAAGGGGTTGTTTTAAGGTGAACAATAACTTCTTCCTGCTATTGACTTGCCAGCCATGTTCACTGAATTACACCCGGATTATGTGCATTTAAATGTTGAAAAGAGACGCATATACTGTAGTACAGCAGCCCTGCTCTCTGATACAGCAGCTCATGAATGCCTTCCTGGTGAACTGTAAGGTCAATAAGCAAAACTGCACTGTTACTCACATCACTCAGCTCTCCACTGCACTCTGGATCACTAGGTTCTATGTAGTGTTTCCTTAGAAGTTGCTTGAAGAAGGCAGGGTGGTCCATCAGGGTATAGGATGTGAACACAGCCCCATTTTGCAGCAGAAAGGTGGAAATCTCTTCATTTCCTAACGAACATAAGAAAACGGGTCGATTTTCAAAGTTAAGGACATCCCCAGCCAAACCTACAGTACATTATGTAAGGAAGTACAGTTCTATGCACAAATAAAAAAAGAGGAAATGGCCTGTTTGAAATCCAAAATGTTTTCTATACTCTGTGCCATATCCTGTTTTGCTCAAGATTTCATTGTTTTAAACAAGATTTGATTTTTTTAAACATATTTTGTCTTTTCAAAACTATGCTTTGAAAAAGCTTTGATCACCTCTACTAGAATATGATCACAATGCATTAAATGTATGGAGTTGTGTGTGAAATACCTTCATCTTCCAAGTATTGAAGTTTCAAGCAATGATTGTGCATTTCCTGTGCAAGTGCATACAAACCTTTCCCTGCCCACAGCAAAAACAAATTACTGAAACCTTCCTCTTTGTTGTATAATTAGGAAATAAACGAGCAGGGTACAATGCTCTCAGCCCAGTCAATGGACAGTGGACAACTGAGTGAGAACTCAGTACTTTTCACGAGGAAACTCAGTTTGACAGAATGGCAAAATACTATGTGGAGGGCAGGAGTACAGTACATTTAAGCCTTCCCCTCATGTAAAAAAGGCTCTTGACTGGACTGATAAGGACAGTTTTATACACATTGTATTCTAGAAACTGGTTTCCAGTTCATAATGGAATGTTTTATCAGCCTCTTTCAGGAACTAGCAAGGATCCAGATTTCCGACTGCTGTCCCAGCTGTCCAATTTTAAATACAGAACACCTGCAATGTGGCTCAGCAACAAAGAAGTCTGAGTTTAACCTGACTGGGACTAGGAGAGATATGTGACAACTGGACATTGCAATATTCTTTCTGCGCTGGTGTTTAAATATACATTCTTTCTATACATGTGCCTTTTCCTAACACACCTTTCATGCTGTATCTATGTACAAAAAGCACCTGGGAATGCCCGTCCTTGACAGTACTGTACATCCAAGGGCAGGAGAGAAAGCTAGTGCCTTCCTGCTCAGCTCTCCAGAGGGCTGTTCATAATAAACATATTTCAAAAGCACACTGCATAGCGCAATGACTTCTTGCATCCCTACAGCTGCGCAAAACTACAACTGTCAAACTCTACTCCGAGGCACAGAATGAAAAAAAAAATGCAACGTCCATCTGAGGTCTGTCGCCATTGCGGGGTTAACAGTGCGCGGCCTTTGATTTTTGCAGAAGTCCCTGAGCCGGAAGGAGCGTGGTGCCCAGCGAAGTGAAAATGAGCATGCTGCAGGCAATAGAAAAAAGGGAAGTGTAGGAAAGCCGCGAGAAAGCCGCGAGAAAGACATAAACTGTCTTTAATGTTGACTGGCTCCTCTGAACTGTCCCTTCCCCAAAAGGGGGAACAGGGGGTTTCATACTTGGGTGTTGCCAGAACATGTGGCTCAATCAGTTGAATGAATGGCCTCCTTCCACCAGAGACATTCTGATGTAACGAGGAGCCCTGTGTTTTCACAAAGCCTGAGAAAGAACTCCACCCCCGGACACTCTAGAAGCATCTGCTCAGCATTTCCCTTCTGGGATATGGCCTATCCCACCTGCTCTCGCTGCCGCGTAGAGTGGTAATCCTGTAATGACAGCGAAGTCGTGAGTTCTTATTGCACAGTTTTCAGCATCAGCCTGGTAGGTGAGCACCAGCAGCTTCACTACCTCCAAATGGCCCTGCTGGCAGGCTGTTGCCAGCATCCAGTTCAGTAAGTCTTTCTGGACACAAGGCCCTGGAAAAACAGAACAATTACAATCAACTCACTACATCACTTCACAGGGACCCTAACAAACACACTCCTGCATATCCCCAAAATGTGTCTGAGCAAAAACTTGTTATGTCAACAGACAAAACATGAAAAACATCTGAAACAATACAATGATGCTTCTGTAGAGCAGGGAAGCCAGACTGAAACGGCTGTTCGGTATTTGATCAAGTGTAGCAAAATAAATAGGGGCTATAAAAGAGATTCTCTTTTCTGACTCTAGCTTATAGCATTGCCCCACATTTTTATGGTATTCTGCATTAAACTGCAGAAAATGAAGAAAAAAATCCTGTAACTCTCATTTTCTTTTAAAATTAATCCGAAAATATACTATAAAAACAACAGCCTACAACAGACGCCCTCCAAAGTGTCACTCCCCTGAGACTCACCTGGTATGGAGTCCAGTAGCTCCTTGACCACATGCTCATGACCAAAATATGCAGCAAGTACAGCCGGATTGTCCTCACTGGGCTGTTTGGGCACCTGCACTCTGACCTCCTTCAGCAGATACTGAACACTCTCCAGGTCTCCACTCCCAGCAGCAAGGGAAAGAAGCTGATGCTTTATCAAAGTCACGGAACAAAACACAGTATGTCAGAGGATTTCTCTCTGTTCCTCAGGGTCTGAAACCTATAAACAAAAAGCCTCATTGTTCAAACAAGACATCTCATGTGTCAGATTCTGTTCTCTAGAATGTCACTTCCTTCTTTTCAGGTACTTTAAACAGATAAAAATCTGTCAGAATTATCAGTAGCCTTGTTCCTTAGCAAAATGTTCAGTAACTGTATCTCTGCATGTAGTACAACTGTGGTTGTAGATGGATGAGGAAGATTTTGCAGTGTGGGAGAAATGGTTTGGCTCCTGTGCTATAAAAAATCCCCTAAAAGAAATATTTTAGAATATAGTAACAGAGCAGTAAACCTGGCCAAAAAATGACATTACACATTTGAAAGCATAACTACCAAAACCAAACATTAAGCTCCTTACCATAAGATTAGTTTTAAAAAATGATAATCCAGGGTTTATATACAGTGTATGGCTTTTGCAGATAATGAAATTCATGCACAATTTGCTATTGAAAAGCACTAATAAGAAATAAATCATTTCTCTAGTGCGAGTCTTTCATTTTAAATAAATGAAAATATAATTTATGCTTTATTTCATTGTTTACAAGTTTGAAATCCTATTAGAGTGTCTATGATGTCTATGCTGTAGCATATAAAATTATTAAAACAGTTACCTTCCCCCATAATTCAATTTGTTACGTATAGTATATTAAGTCAATGTAACAAAAATAAATCTGGAAAACTGTGAAAATAGCCACTTGTCCATTGTTCTGAAATTAATGCTGACATTAATTGCTCATATTAATGCTTCAGAGAACGAAAAATTTAAATGAAGTGCACAGCAACACTAGATAAAATCTCCACAGTCTCCTGGGTCTCAAGAAGCTTCTTTTTAGAGTTAGAGTAACTTGACACAAATCAACAAATATTGAGACAATGTCAGCCAGTCACAGAACACTGAAATTAGCAAACCATTTCTGTCAGGTTTTTTCAAGAATGGTAACATTTTGTTTGCCAATACGTCTGACTTGAGCATTTGGCAATAATAATATTTCCTAGCATTGTTATAGCTCCATAACAAAGAAAATAGATACTCGGTGCACTACAATTACCGGGTTATACAAATGAAAAAAAAAATCCATGTAAATTTGCACAGGGGCACAAACAACCCTGTTGAAAATGTCAAAGATCAGCTCCTGGTGTTTCATTCTAAGACGCAGAAGATAAAACTCTCCCAGCATCGCTGGTCTGCAGATGGGTAATGCAGAGTGTAGGGGGATTATGTGTCTATAATACTGAGACACTGAATAATCCTTTCCACTGAAATAAGCACTTTGTATATACTGTACATGTTTTTACTGTATATATACAGATATAGATATCCTGTATGGAGCGGTGTGGGAGGTATGCACTGTATACTATATATACTGTATGTACATGTACTGTACCTCCCACACCAGAGCAGTTTAATCAAATAAATGTAATCATTATGTCAGAAATATGTCAGGGGCCACCTGCCGTTAGGTCTCTTTTCCAGAATGCCTCTAACGCTTGGCAGTTCATTAACATCTAAACAGGGTCAGCAAAGGCTCTTACGAAGGTAGGGGAATTTCCCAGATCACACTTCCATTCATCAACCCCAGAACTTGCTACCACCACCAGCTCTTAATGCTGCAACTTTCACACTCTGCTTTCATGTGAAAAGATGCCAAAAAGCCACTTTCCGCTGCTGCCGTTTCCCCGTTATCCCTAATGGGCGGGAGCAAGGCCATTATCTGTCAGAGCCGCAGCATCACTGATCACATTACTTGGCTTGCTAATGTAATTGCAGGCAGCATCACATTTGCTGTTCCCCTTTGCCCTGCTTTCGAAACCACTTTCAGTGGAGCCGGAGATGCATGCACCTTTTCTATAACCGTCTCTTTCTTGGCTGTAGGACTTCAGGACCTTTAATGCACGCGTTTGTGGCTGTTGTCTGAACCTTCGGAACTGAGCTGGTGTCTTCAAAGTGCACGCACGAAATAATTATTTTATAAACGGGCGAAGGGAATGACTTCATTGCCTCTTAGGTTGTTTACCATTAGCATCATCAGCACTGCAACTATTTACTGACAGCTACAGACATGACAGCCCTTCTCACAGGTGCTCAGTGCCCTATACTCATTTCATGCTCTCACTGTGGACCACAATTATACAAGACTACCCCTACCCCAGAGCTAAGAGCATGTACAGCACTGCAAATACAAGAATGCCATAAGCATTACTGTTCCCTGGCTTTCACGTCTTTTTTGTTGAAAACCTGTCACCCTCAACCACACCAAGTAGCGATGGATGCTTTTGTAAAATCTTTCGGGCCTCATGAGGGATACTCGGGTCAAACACGGCACATCCGTGCTAAACACTCTGTACTGTACGCTCTCCGACAACATCCGCATTATTCAAAGTAGCATGAAAAATTAAAAACATGCCAAAACTCATAATCATTATTCCCTTTGCTTGGCAGTGAGCGCTACAAAACAAAAAAATTGCACTGGATCTAAGCATAGAGTCTGTAAACAGTTTCCTGCAATGTCAATAATAGTATCCAGTACTTCCTTTTTTTCCAGGAGCTACTGACAAACTGCCAGGCATCTCAGTGCTTTCATTTTCCCTTTACTGAAGAAGACAATGGGGATGAAAAGCCAGGTGACCTTCCTTTCAACGTCTCAAGGCGCAACATCAAGTTGTGCTCCGATAAGTAACCCAACACAGCCCCTCTGGTATGTTTTTTTTCCTGCACGGCTAAATTATTTCCATATATGCAATGATTCCTCAACAGAATCAGAAAAAAGTGTTCAGGGATTTAACTGACTTTTATAGAACATGCTATTGGAAAAAAACAAAAAGGAGACAGCAGAGAGAAGGCATAATATTTCATAATGGCATTTTCTTCTATTTTGGAGCCGACCATGCGCACACTGATGATGCTACCTGCACAGATACCCTCCCATCCCCACCCCCAGCTGTAAGAATCAATGCTGTGCTCTTACCTTCTCCAGCTGCGCCCTGCTGGTCTCCCCACACGAGAGCCGAATCAGCTCCCGGGCCTGTCGGCTCTCTCCGGCTCGGTAGGCGGCCTGGATGTTGTCGATGGTCGGGGACTGACTCAGAGCGGTACTGCCCAGGATGGACTGCTTGCTTCCCATGTCCACAGTGCCTGCCACAGAAGCAGAGAGAGCAGCCCCCCACGTGTCAGTCGGGCTACAGCATCCATAACGTGCTGCGCTCCAACAGCCTCGTTCAGCAGGAGCGCAAAATATAGGTCACAGATATAAAGAATGCATACACAGTAACTCCCTAACGGATCAACTTATTGCACATGGAGCACAGGTTGGGAAAGTGTAAAAGCTGCCCCCTTCTCTCAATGGTCTGCCTGTAACTCCAATTCAAGAGAGAAGGACAGTAGGCAGACTTTTAAGAAGAAGGAGACAAGTATTTATTGGGATATGTAATTGACAAGACCTCAGTGTAATGACTTAATCAAAATCAGATGGGACTGTACTACAAACCGAAGCTTCTGTGTGCTCAATGAACCCTAAAGCAAAAATGAAATGTGTCCTTGTTAACAAAACGAGTGAATGCAGTTCAAAGGGAGAAATAACATTCTGCCCAAATCCCCCAAAACTGCCTGGTTCGAGCAGGGTTTTGTTGCGCAACATATATTGTTACGACAGGGTATTTCCAGTAGGTGAAAGATTATAGTGCTCGTTTACATCCCATTTAAAAGAAAAGAACCCTAGGCTAATCAAATTAAGGATCAGCAATCCCAGCTTTTCTTTATCTTGTCTCACAAATAAGTGCCTGTGTTTCAGACGTCTCCCAGCCATTGGTGAACTCACAAAATAAATATTCCACATTTCATTTGGACAGTTGAATCACCCGAAACACTGTTTGTCAATAACTACAGTAGGTCAGAACATACTGTAAGGAATCCTTCCATTATACTTCCCTGGATACTGAGGCTATAAGTGAGGCTACCTGCACTGGAGAAAGCATTGAAGAACAAAAATATTTTTAGGTTTAAATTGTTTTTGATTAGTAGTGTGTGATTGGTGTATTGTGATTGGTAAATCACAAATTATTAAGGTATTTCGCACCGCTTTGGGGAAAAGAAGGGCTTACATCATGAGGTCATCATCATAACATTTTCCTTGGTAATATAATGTTACTTATTTTGAACAAAAGGAACCTGTATGTGAATAGACATACAGTAATACATAATATGCAAAGGAACAAGTAATAGGTTTATTCCATGCTGAAAAAAAGAAGAAAGAAAACAACGTTTCGGCCGTGGAGCCTTTGCCGTCAAACCTGAAGAAGGCTCCACGGCTGAAATGTTGTGTTTTCTTCTTCTTTTTTTCCAGCATGGAATAAACCTATTAGTTGTTCCTTTGTAGCCTACGCATGCTGACGCAGCTACCCACCTGAACTAATACATATTGTAATACTGTTCACTACAATGAAAACTTGGATCCATTACAGGTTCTAAGTGCAAACTGCACCAATAATATACATAAAGCAAAAAGATGATTAAGGTACTGTACATACAGTATCTACAGAAAATTAAGAAACCGGAAAAGTCAGCTAAAAATACACCCCTGTATATGTACTGTAGCTACTATTGCAGCAGGCCACACAATTTTATCTTAAGAAACATAATAGGGCTCTAAGATTATTATGCTACAGAGCTGTAACTAGCACTGTTTTGAGGAAGCTAAAAGTCTTATGACAGCCTCTTTAATTTCCAGTACACTGCATCTTGATAACAAAGCTATATGAATAATTAAGCATCTGAGTCAGACAGCCATCTGAGAAAGCCTCAGGGACTGTAACCATTAGAACATAAACCAGATATCAATACAGCCTATACAGGACTAAGGCCAGGAACCCTGAAGGGCAAAGAGTAGAGGACAAGCATCAGAGTTAATATTAAGGAAACTACAACAAAGGCATATTTGGAAATTGCCAGTGTCCACTTGTAGAACACACACATTCCAGGTCAGGACAGGACACCAGCCTTTGTTATTTGGGAGACTGATAGCCTGTGGACAGACGTAGTATAATTCTGTAGAGATGGCTTTTTAAAATCTAAATACCATGATCTTCTGTAGTATATTAATACATCATGATCAATACACAAAACGTATAACTTTAAATTAATCCTTACACGGAAAATGCGCTTATTTCAGACTCCAATTAGCAGTGTCTTTATATTTATATTTGCTTGGTACTGGTAAATACATTGACTGCTATCAAAATGAAGGACAAAACTACAGGCATTAAACCCCTCTTTCCTGTATTCTACTGGATCAGCATGATCTAAGGGGCTTGTTTTGCATTTCAGCAAAAATAGACACTGCTGGGCCTTTCAGCATCGATACCTTGTTTTCCTCTCAGTACAAATATGAAAGGAAGCAGAACACCACCACTTTAAAGAAACTGATCGATACTTAAAAAGAGACATCTGCTCAGCGCAGGAAGACTCTTTCAGCTTTTTTAAAAAGCAACAGTTTTTCATGTGAGGAAAATAAAATGGCTGAAAAAGTTAAAAAAATAAGGTTCAGTCCCTCTCCTATAAACTCAATTAGCTTTGAAAACCAAAGGTCTTAACTGCCTGTTGGAGAATATATGTTTTATGGCGTATATTGTTATCTCTTGGTACTTCATCACCAAAATACAGGTATTCCATAAAATATTAGCAGTGTGACAGATGATCTAGGTTTAAAAAAAAAAAACAAAGACTGCCTTATCATTGAGAGTGTAATGAATGCATTGGCTTTGCTGTGATCCCTTAAATCTTCAGATGATTGGGCATTGGACAGTATTGGGGTTATTTCCTGGCATGTTTACGGACATTTATGAAATAAAGCTGATGATAGGCATTTCATGACAATGCTTAAGATGAAAAAAGAGAATAAATCCCACATTTAGACCTTTCTGTCCCACATAATGGAACTGAAAACTAAAAATAGGTTTATAAAAATAACAACACAATCTCTGATTTAAAAAAATGCAATAAGGATAAGACAGCAAAAACAACAATAAGAATAAAGCCTGAAAAAAAGTGGGTTGCAAGGATTGTAGGACATTTCTTACACAAAAGGTAATACACAAGCATAAAGCAAAGACAACCAGCAGGAACTGGTGTTTGTTTGAACAGTGGACACTAAAACACTGACCCAGGTTCATCTTTAGTTACAGTACATCTGTGCAAGGGACCACCAGTGCACAGCATTTTACCAACTCACAATATAAACCATAGAAATATGCTGGACCATGACTATACATACACTGTACTCACATATACACATCAATTTATATACAGAATAAGCATACAAACAGCACATTTTAAAGCAGAAGCTCAGAACATTGTTACATCCGCCCAGCTGTGTCAAGTCAGGTGGCCAGCAAACCAAGGCAAACCCAGTGCAAAACAATGGAGTAAACACATCCCATCCTTTGGCAAAAACATTGGTAACACTTCATAAGACTATCTTTTTCATATGCTGCAAAGTAAATAATTATTTCTATACAGATTACGCCCCTAGAAGTTTATATTGTGGTACCAATACATAGATGCGCATCACATTGTATCACATAGGTTTTTCTTTAACACTGAAACAATGCAGTAACCAAACAATTTATTTTGTGCGTGCCTGAGCTTGTATAAGGGGAGATTTATTGCTGCTTAATCACTCCCTTAAGTGTAATAATTAAAATATTAAGATCAGAAGCAAATTCCCTCTCCAAAATAAGTAAAAAATAACACAAAAGGACCTCTCGGTCCTTATCAGACAGTATCGTACGTATTCTGCTCCTACCTTGTCATGTTGTGTGAGCAAATCTCTCTGGCACACCCAGCATCTTCAGTCTTACAAGGCTAGTTTGTTTTCACTTTAAAAGGAACGACAACACGGCTTGTGTCCTAACCCCGTTTCGTTTGGGGACGTTGGCCACAGTCCGGGGTGCGATCTCTCGCTCTCTGGTCAGGGGAGAGTCAGGGGATGCCTCTTCGTTTGGGAGGCAGGCTTTCCTGCTCAGCGCAAGGACAAGACTGGCCTGTGCTGCCCCACTACCCATTACAGTGAAATCCAGCCCTCCCAATCCTGACTGGAGATGCACAGGGGAACAAATCTCTCTGTCGCCTTGGGGTGACCTCCAAGCCTGAATTCACTAGTGCAGCAGCAGATGGCTTAAGCACCATGCTACGGGATTAATACAGTCTCCTTTCTCCCTGCTTTGGAGCATTTGGACAGAACAACACTGTACTATATTCCATGAGTAAACACAGCACTATTGTATTCCATCTGCAAAATGACAGGATGAGATTGCCTCCTTGAAGAACTGATTTGTAATTCTATACACTGGGTATAGTTTTTTTTTTTTAACTGTGAAATATTACTGCAATATTTGTTTTTATTTTTAAGATAATTAAAAATAATGTATTTTGAATATTTTTTTTTTCAGGTTCCACACATAGATTTCCCCCTTCTGTTTTCCGGGGCCAAAATGTCAGTTTTGCACCCCTTTGAATCCGGACTCATTAAACACAGCTGTCAATTTCAATAGCAACCTGGCTCCTTGCAGCTGAACAGTAAAAAGATGTGCATGAGAGTAAGCATGGTTTAAAACAGCGTTGTGATTATAGACCGTATTTGTTGTAAAGCTGATTATGAACATGGAGAAATACTGTATACTGGTCCTGCCGTAATTTTGTGTTGTGCGCAGCACTTTACAGGAGAGAAAGCAGTAATTTCCCATTAGCCCTCTATGGGTGAGAGGAAAAAAAACTCCCAAGAGGAAGAGTGCTCAACAAAAGCCTTCTGCACCTCCACTTCAGACAGCACTACAGATTTAAAACAGCTAAAAACAAAACTCATGTCATGCTACAAAGCTTTGCTGATGTTATTTGTCTCTTTCAGTTCTTGCTTCTATTTTTAAAGCTCAGATACTCTGATTTCCTGAAATGCTTTTTTTTATTTTACAGAAAACAGTTATATTTAACGCAGTTTAACTTGAAATTCTCTTGCTTCTTTTTTACTTCTGCAGATACAGTAGATGCATTAACCTTAATAATGTGGTGCTGAACGCAAAGTTAATTACTTTAAAGAAGTACTTTCAGGATGACTCCAGGTGAAAATACCAGAGTGCTCTGGTCTCCCACAAGAGAGGTTTTAACAAGGTATACTTTTAAAGAGATCTATAGTACAAGTCTTGCATGACTGTGACCACCATTCCTCTACGGTCAAGTTGTCTTTATTCCCCTATTTGTTACTTCACTATGAAACAGAAACCCATCTTCCCACACTGGGGAAGAAGATGCACAGTTAGGGACACCACTTCTGTATTTTATTTTTTACTTTTTGTTGTTTTTCAGAGGAATACCAACAGGGATAGCAAAACTCACATATGTATAAAAAATAAATATAAAGCACAGAACTAGAACATAAGTACAATATTTTAAGCTGCACAGCAAATATTAAGTTGTTAAAGGGTATATTGCTTGGAATATATAAGACTTTTAAAATATCATAAAATTCTGTGTACTGCAATTATAAGGTTAATTTCGTATTAAATAAAACAGGCGTACATTGCTGTACACAGAACTGAAAATCTCTGCAGGATCCAAAAACCATCAGAAATGGATTCAAACTATGTAAACAGCACACAAACTAATTACATCTTGATGAACTGTAAACACACCGAAAACACTGAAAGATTGAGAAACTGATTTAAGAAACATGAAGAGCATTTCAAAGGAGATCTCAATCAGACTAAAAGTGGAAGCCATAAAAAGGCTAGTCTGTCCAGGAAAAACCTATGCACTCACTTCTCCTGTCTGGGGTCAGTTATGACAAACCACATTTTTCTCCTTAGCTGCAGAAACTACTTCTGAAACAAAAAAACAACTAAATCAGCAGACGTATTGATCACTGGATGAAGTGTCAAAACCTGTCCTGCGGCAGCACAAAAAATGAAGATTTTTTTTCTATAATACCTTGAACGAAACGAACACTTTGTGCTTACCATCATGCTCGTCCATGCTGCCCTCCTCTCTGCCACTGGTCTCACTAGTGCCCACGGACCAGTACATCCTCTGCCAGGGTCACCCAGAGGGTAGGACAAATTCCGGTGGCCGTTTCTCAGGGCAAGAAAGCCTTCATGGCACAGCAGACGTGGTGCTGTTGGGATGAGGCAGATGATCAGAGTGATGAAAACAGAAGCTCATTGGCTCCAAAATAAACTAAAAGGGGAAAAAAAACCTAACTTGATAAGCAAATAAAACTTTAGAACAGACCTTCAGAAACTAGGCCAACTAATCGCAGCTGTTTAATTGCTTTCTTTATTGTTTTATAGCTGTCATTGGTAACCAAAACACAACAAAATACTTTACGTTTATAACCTTGATTGAAGATTCACCCATCATCATAGGGAGGAAGGAATATAACTGTAAAAATCTAAAAGGTGCAATACTAACAAAGAGACAATGCGGGTATAGGAAACAACTTCTATGTCCTCATGGATATGAAGATTACATTTATTTTTAACTAAGAAAAAGTTATGCCAATTTTGAACGAAATATATAAATTGTCCTGAATTGAACTGTCTGGGTAGTATCCTTTGTTTAAAAGAAAAAAATATACATTCTCCTTCGATTTTCTAATCATCCTATGACATTTGTTCAAGTTAGACACCCCCACACTACGGTGATAATCTGGGAAAAACCTTCTGCAGTAAATCAAAGATAGGCAACACTCTTGAAGATGGCTCCAAGAAAGGACATCGAAGCACTGATTGCTCCTTTGTACAATCATAATATGGTGATATACTGTAAGCTATAAGATATAAGGTGCATCCGATTCGCACACAAAACAAGGATGGTTCTTTCTACAAAGCCGACATCATTCCTTTTTCCAGAAACAAAAACCAGTACTCTTAAATCATTCCTGTGGCACCTCAGAAGTCTGCCATTATCAGCAAGCTGGGCCACTGTGCAAAGATGTCCAAAAATTGACCGAAATGACCAATGCCACAATACAATAAACATTGAGGTGCCTTCCTTGGGCAAATTTCCAAAAGAGGTGTATTTTTAGCCTCTCAATGAAAAAAAAAAAGAGTTAATACAGTTGATCAAAAGGAGTGACTCAAAAACATCATTAAACTCTGCGGATATGCAAAAGGATGTGAGGGTGTGTCAATCAAGTTCTGTCTCACACTAAGAGGAAAGACGAGTCAGGTATACATTGGGCCACCCATGACTCTTTCAAGAATCCAATACTTAGATGTTCATCCATAACAGTTACAGTAAAGGGAGCCACGGGGACAGTTTCTCCTGACAGCTTGTCTCCATTGTGAGCCTCTGTCAGGTGCCTGGAGTTTCAGAGTGGGCTTACAGAGGCCCTTTGCAGCTGGCTCGCAGTTACAATGCTCGGCTTCAGTGAGCAACAAGCTTTAACAGAAAAACAAGTCATTTCTACCGGCCTTGTAACGCAAGTAACAGACAGACATTACTCACTCCTCCCTGGACTGGATAACGCCTTTGGTTGCAAGCTGACAAATAAGAAATACTTTACTTTGTCAGGCAGACAGTAGCTGGGGGTTGTTCTTCATTATTATCAATAATAATATATTCACTACTAGCAGTGGTTGTATTCTATTCATTGGTAACCGAAATACTACAAAGCCTTCATCATTATGACCATCATTGAAAACTGCTCGGCACAAAGTTACAATTTTTGAAACCAGCGAATAAGCCTTTGGCAATCTAAGGAACTTTCTTTTTTAAATGGTGCAATCTGTATAACCTTCAGATAACCTGACAGGCTGCAGTCTCCTCTTGCAAAACAAGACAGGGTGAAAGTACTCACTCTTTTGCTTTCCAGAAATGACATAATTTCGTGATTTTAGATCAGCCAAGCTAAACAGAACATTTAATCAAATGTGACACTGGCGAATTGGATAGGATTAGAATACACGACTCGTATTACATTGTTTCTTTTTCTGTTTCAGTGGTATATAAAGTATATGCAGTACAATGAACTGACAATATCAGTACCTCAGTACTCAAAGGCCTGGATTTCAATCTAGCTACTAAATCTCCAGAAGTAGAATGCACGTGTTTCTCTTTCCATTTCCTTCCAGCACATCGAAAACACACGATAAGACAGTTCTAGCAAAGGTCCCTCACACCTGAAGAAGGCTCCACGGCCGAAACGTTGTGTTCTCTTTCTTCTTTTTTTCAGCATGCAATAAACCTATTACTTGTTCCTTTGCAGTTCTAGCAAAGCCGTGCTGTCTCAGGTCTGGATAGCCAAGAGATATACCCAGTCAATGAAACAAACCACTTCAATTACCAGTATTTACGGAAAGGTATTGAAAACAGCGTAAATATTGTAAACTGAAACAGATCAGATCTTATATGAATACACTTCAGAATATGTCAAAATATGTTTTGTCGGAGCAAATAGATATTTTTAATAACGGGAACCACTTCATATGCCGACATTCCTTTTAAATAATGATTTAAAAAAAACATAACAAGAATCAAGAAAAAAATAAACATGTACTGCAACGACAAGCACGCACAACTTGCTCGTCGGACTGAGAATTACACTGTATCACTAAAAGTCACAACCTGCTAGAAGTGCTCGCTGTAACACGTCGGATAATTCAAGGGTCTTTCTGAACCGGCCGTTTCAGCAACAACTTCAAAGCTCAAAACAATCCAGGATCTCTTTTCTGAGGGGAAAAAATGAGGCACTCCTTGTTTTCTCTGTCTTCTGCCTGTCGCAGTGACAACAGAAACCATTACAGCTTCCACAACTGACTTACCTCATAGTTTTCAAAGCAAACGTGACGTGGGATGGCCTTAATTAGGTAAGACAGACAAGTCAGAAGCTTACATCTTTCATTCGATTCTATAATAATCCGACATTTGTCTAGGCGTGCCTCTAAATGAGTTTGCAAAAAAAAAAGTGTGGACTGTCGGCGAGCAGTATTTAGCTACAGCTAATACTTCCTCAATCCTCAAAACCACTCTCTTCATTAGTTTAGAGCCAGCTGTGTAACGTCACCGCCTTCTGGGTCTGCAACTGTTTCACCTGGACGTGAGACAAGAACTTCACTTTCATCATGAAAATAATCATGTTAGCTACTTGAATTTAGCCATAAACGTAACGTGCATTCAAAAGAAATCGCACAAACTGTAACTCAGCTTTAAGACGGGGCTTTATACAGTACCTTAAACAGCATTCTCTGTGAAAAGAGCAGACACAACTAATGACGCGCTCTCTGTTCGTATGGAGTTGTGCAGAGGTACAAGGCTACGTCCTACCTTCAATACTGGATACTTAGTGTACAGTATATCGACTAACTGCAGAAAAAGGCTAGACCCTGCTGCAGGACGGGGCTGGGCGTGATTAACAGGATAAAGAGAAAAGCAGAGCTGCAGCTGAGATCGCGGGAGGATATACTGTAGTCAGCTGTGGAGCTGCACCTCCCTCGTAGGACTTCAGCGCTTTTAGTTAAAAATACTTTTCTTTTGGCACAGCAGTCTTCCTAATTTGACATTACGGAAGAGCAAATGAAGGTTGGTCAGGAGATAAATTTGTTCGAACCTTTTCTTTTATTTTTGACGGACACTGCCTTAAAGCCTAATCCCAGCCTGAACCCTAACATTAAAACGAATCTAACCCCCAAATTGTCTAACCTCTGGAGTAGCTCCGCCCTTTATCATAAAGCAAGCCCTGCTTTAGCTACAGCCTGAACACTAGTTCTAATTCTATATTTAATCACACCCTGAGCCATAGCTCATGAACACAACTTGGCCCCAGTCTTAGTCCCCTTTCCAAAAAACAAAACAAAACCCAAATCCTAAATGCAGCTTCATCCCTAACCCTTCACCGAAACCTTAACCAATATATTAGATTATTTCATTCAGAGAAAAGAAGCATGTCTGACAAACGTCCTTTTGGGAAAATGGGTAAAGTTTGGGAAAACTACAGTCCAAACATAGTACAGAAACCGGCTTGCTTTTGTTGTTGCATAAAACAAAATAGCAAATAATTTTTTTAAACTGAGATGTGTAAATGTATTTGGATGTGATGATGATTGTACCAACAATATGCACTCTTACAGAACCTGTGAGTTTATTCATTATTCAACCTGAAGCCTAGCATATACAATTGGTATACTGTATTAACTGGACCAGTCCAACTGAAGTACTTTGCTCAAAGGCACAACTGCAGAGCCCTTCCCACTACCCCAGAGCTTGGGGGACAAACAGGAGACCAGAATCAGACAAACAAAGGATGTGAGGTGGGGAATAAAGAGTAGACTAAGACAGGTAAGTACTGAGGTGCCAAGCCATGTAGAGATTTATAGGTGAGCATGAGGATTTTGAAGTCGATACAAAACCCAATTGTAAGTCAGTTCAAGGACTCCAAGATGGGAGTAATGTGATCACTTGCACTTGATCTGACCAGGATCCTGGTTGCCGAATTCTAGACATACTGTAGTTTATTTAGTATAGTTTTGTTTAGTGGATTTAGATACCGTATCTCAACAAGTAGGGGATTGCAGTAATCAATTCTAGAAAAGACAAATGTGTTGACCAGTTTTTCTGCTACAGTCAGAGACTACAAAGGACATGGTCTGGCAAATATTCTGAGATAAAGTATGATGTTTTTACAATATTTTGCACATGTGGGTCAAACATCAAGCCTGAAAAATATGACCCCCAAATTCTTCAATTTGGTTTGAAATTCAAGAACAGTGCCATCCACAGAAATGGTTGCTGCATTGGCTTTAGGTAGTAATGGGAGGTAAAGAAGCATGACTTCAGTCTTGTCGCAGTTAAGATGAAGGACATTTTGAGTCATCCAGGATTTTATGCAATTAGAGATACAATTAAGAAGTGCAGAAACAGCTTCTTCAGTGTCAGGTATAGTATAGATGTAGATTTGAGAATAATTTGCATAAAAGCCATGTGATCTTAATAGCTGACCAAGTCGGAACGTACTGTATAATGCTGAATACAAGGTGCCCAGTATTGAGCCATGAGGAACACCAGACACACCAGATGTAATGAGCCCAACATTAGAACTGAAACCCCCTGAACTGAAAGAGAGACAAAGTGTTCGAGATCAGTAAGACACGAGTTGAACTATTTAAAAGCAATATCAGAAACCCCAAACACAGTCTCAATATGAGTGACAAAGATATAATGATCAAGAGTGTCAAACACAGCACAGAGATCAAGGAGAATAAGGATATAGAACTGGAATCAACAGCCACAAGAAGATCGTAAATAACTTTAACAAAGGCAGTTTCTGTACTGTGTCATTATCTGAAACCAGACTGAAGGGGTTCAAAGAGGTTGTTAGCAATGAGACAATTGTTTAATTAAATTGCAACAGCACGTTTTAAAATATAAAATATAAAATCTATATTTGTAAATTCACAAAAGCACAGATTTGCATATGGACAAAGAAAATGCAGACTGAAATGTTGTTTAGATGCATTTATTCTTAAAGATTTAACTTTTGGATTCCTTATATACATTTGATGAGATGACTTTTTTCCAGTGAATGGATGTTACCTCATATTCTCTTTTTATTCAGCTTGCAAGTCGGTCATTAAGATAACAGCTAGTTTTTGTATCTTGCAAAAGCATGTTAGCAATATCAAAAAACCCATGTTCATACGCAAGCTTGTAACACATATACACGTCTTCGCAGTACTTCAGCAACTTCTTTAAATTCTGATTCGCGTTGGCAGGTGGTTTGCTGTGCTTGAATCTGGAAAAAATTAAACAGTATTTATATAGCAAAATATCTCACTAATTTCTAACTGTACTCTTATTAATATATAGCTTTCTGGATGGAATTACCTTTAATTTGCTAATGCGCTCCTATAAAACATTGTAAAGCGCCTTACAATTTCAACTCATGACATGGTTGTTTGAATTTTATATAAACAGTATCTGACAATTAGATATGATCACTTCTGCATGACTGTACAATATTGCATAAAGAACAAGTAATAGGTTTATTCCATGCTGAAAAGAGAAGGAAGAAAACACAACGTTTCGCCTGTGGAGCCTTCTTCGGGTGTAAGTATATTACAAGGACGACATCTGTAAAGGAATAGGGGGTTGATTAGAAAGCCTGGTCTTGGACCAGATCGCTGTGAAGAGACAGAATGCTGGTTTAAGTAAGAGAGGGGGGCAAGTAGCCCAGGGAGGAAGAGAAGGAACAACGAAGAGATCTAAAAAAAGATTTAGAGGAAGGCATAGTGGCTCCACAGCCGAAACACTTGACAAATGCTTTGTTAATTTTTATATCTCAACGTAAAAAATACCACAGTCCTAGGATTAGTTGGGGCTTATATTCGATGCTGAAGCATGTCAGCCTTTCTTGCTTGAGATGAATCAGTCTTCTTCCAGTTGTACAACAAACAATTTAAGAATTTAAGAAAGGTTACAAACAAGAGGAGGCAATTCAGTCCATCAAGTCCATTTGAATGTCCCAAAAAAGGGCAGGTTTCTAATTTAACAAAACAGAAGCAATATCACTCAGTTCTCTTGCTGCTGAGGTGAATACTCTCATTGCAAAATCAGCTCTTCAATATGATTTTATAGTTTACTCCAGTGTGGAGGCACCTTACTGTCCCAGTTTAAAAACAGTTTCTGCAGAGATTAATACACAAGGTGGTGCAATTTTTAAAGATAAAAAGAAACGCATATATCAAGTAACACTGAAGTTACCAAGACAATGAATTTCTAGAATGAATACAAAGGTCAGAAATAGCAAGAACTCTGGGACAGAGAAGATGAACTTAGATTTATCAGCTGTAATTACTTACAGTAACTAATTCTACTAAAGCCACTTGTTGTTCTTCCATCCTGACATCCTTTTAGAAATGTTTTTTTCCAATCAGGCTTCAAAATATCACTTTTTTTTTTTAGTTTTTCAATGCGTTAATATTCTTTAGCCGGCCTCATTTAAACATAAAATACCTCTACAGCAGAGGAAACCTTTTATCTGTAAATAGCAGTTGTACATACTTTTTGGATATTTCTTCAAACAGGCTGGCTTGCAGAAGTCTCTGTTGCTTGAATTCCTCTAGGTAGGCAAAATCCCCTTTGACAATGACTTTCTGATAGAGGACTTCAGCCCAGTCAGGAATGAAATCATATGCTTCTGCTACAACAAAAGACTTAAGAAGAAAAGTTCAATGTTAAGATACACACACTTTTGGTGTCACGTGTACAGTATTTAGGCATATAATATGTTTTGGAAATGCTGTGATTCAAATTGCCTTTCCTGTAAACCCTTTCCTTATACAGTAGTTATGATCTACGATTTGTCTTTCATGATTTATTTGCGCAGTGTAAATTTTATTAGTGAAAGTGTAGCTTGTAGATATACAGTAAATGTTCATTTTTATGTAATATTAAGAAAGATGAATTTGTGAAGATAAAACCACGCAACGTATTAGAAACATGTTGCAAGTCTAATAGTATAATCATTCATTGCCCTAGCAGAATGATCTGCCTCAGGTGCTAGGAGAGTTGTGCCATATGATGTAAAATACATCTACAATTTACCTTTACAAGGGTAAGTTACTACACTGTCAAATAGTCCAGCTGTACTGCTCCAATTGCATTTAAAACACTGTGGTAGCAGGGATCAACCTGTAGCATCTTCACTCTCCATCTTCAGTGCAAGGTCATTTTTTAATTGAAAGATTTCTATACCTCACAGGCTCAGGCTGTTCTTAAAGCAGTACCTGGTAGAAGCGTGGCAGGGAAATGATGGCATCCAGCAGGTCCGTCTTGGGCAAGTTGATGACTCGGTGCTCCTGACCGTGATTAAGGAAATGAAGCTGCAGGGCAACGAGCTTGGCCAGCTTCACACAACGCATGCCTTGACGCACACAGGAGTCCTGTTGGGGTGGCACACCTTCCAGCAATTAGGGCAGGGGGCACTGGTGACCCAAACTCAAAAGTGCTCCACTTTAATAAAACATTTATGTCATAATATGAACTCCGAACTTCATGGTCCTCAGGTTTCTGTTTTATCTTTGTTTCTCCATCATTAATAATTAATGAACATTGTAATGTAGTTTCCAGCTCTGCAGCAGTCAATTTAAACATACTGTACATATTGTACCTGACCACTGTTGAAATAATACAATACAGTATGTCAAACATGTGTGATCTATACTGAAATTCGAGCTTGTAAGAAGAAGCTTTTTATTAAAAAGGATAAAAAGGCATGGAAATCACTTCTGCTCAAAGAAAAAAAAATGTTTTTAAGTTTTAATATCTGTCAAAAACAATACCTTAGAGAAACTTTCTGCAGCATCCTTTAAAAGTGTTAACACTTTCTTCAAAGAATTCTTCAGCTCTGGCGTCACTGCTGTGTTAAAAATAAATGTATTTCCTGTTAACAGAAATGAACCGATGCTTCCGAATTTACACAGATAAAAAGGTATGCAGTTATGTGTCCATAGGCATGCAATCTTAGCAGTGTGTTCTGAGGGTGCTGCATCTGTAGTGATTTACTGATGTACTGGTTAAGAGGTATCCAGTCTTTTCCTGCAATGCCATCTGAATCTCCTAACAACCCCATTCTAGAAATGTTTCCTCGTCCTCTAGCATCCCCTTTCTCAGTGTCTCTCCCCTTTTACCTTACCCCAGGGCTGGGACTCGATCAGCTTGAGCTGGGTGCGGGCAGCACCCTCGTGGTTCTCCCCGATCTCCCGACACATGCTGAAACACAGCGCCACCATGTTGTGCTTTTCACTGTCGCCAGGGTGACAGCGCTTGATGTAGTCCAACAAAGCCGTCTTTAGTGTGGAATTCTTAGGGAAGAAGTGCAACAAGTCATTGTTAGTTAATTAAACAGTTTAAAATCCCCCTCAGTGCATTCTGAACAAGGTTTCAAGAAAGGTTTACACATCGGTCTTGAACATAACACTATAGTCAACTTATACGGTGCAATATAACATTTCAGCTGGTTATCTGACAGTTTCTTCTTTTTACAGAAATAAAAGAAATAAAGATTTTTTCCTAACCGACTGCACTTTTTTCCTGAGGAGCATTTCAAAACGATGGTTCTGGTTAAGCAGGTCGAAGACATAAGTCATGTCGTTGTATCTGCCAACACCAGTGAGCAGGCGAACCTAAAGAGTACAAGAGGGAAAAACACATTAATGTTCTCACTAAATAAATATCATCAATGAGTGGAATAAAAGTATAGTTTAATATACTGTATACTTTGACAGGGACTCAGAATGTGTTGAACTGAAATAAAAAAAACAATCACCTTAGTGATTTTAAATGAAGAGAAAAATTAGGAATTAATATTGTTTTAAACAATAACTTAATTCTTAAAATAATAAATTGTAACTTAAAAGTTGAATAAAGAAAAGGTGTTGTAGTATTATGCCACAGGACAAAAAATATCCTGCTATCTGTTTTTATTAGAGATAAATTTGCTCATTTTGATATGAGCCATTCTGAGAAGACGTGTTTATGACATTTTTTTTTTCACTTCATAAGGCACAAAAGGTGGGTGTTAAGCCATGTTTTTTAGACTGAATCCTTAGGATCTACCAACACCCCCTGCTGAAGGTCTGGATCAGGGTCTCACTGGGCCCATAAACCAAACTACAGGCTGTACCCCTCTGCTTTGCTGCGCATGTGTGTGAGAACAGGGGTCTCACTCACCAGAAGGCTGTATCTCTCGCTGTGGGCCAGGTGTGTGTGGCTGAGGTGCCGGGCAGCCTGGAGCACCCTCACGATGCCCTCCATGTGGCAGGTGAGGCTGAAGCAGTCATGAGCCAGGATCAGGAGCTCAACAACTGAAGAAAAGAATAGCATGTAAAAATAAAGATTAAAGGTTGGACTGTGAAGTGGTTCATGATTTTATATAACTACTTAAAACTGAAGCAAAACAATTACTCTGGAAAATACTCAGAAAAGGATATTACAGCATAGGTGAATCCCTTTTGTATACCATCTACTGTATATGAACACAGTGAGCACAAATGTATTTTATTGACGGCACACCGGTACCAGTCAAAGCCTTTATGAAAACTCATAAAACAATATCAGCAAAGGATGATGCATGACATCCTGATATTTGAGTTTGCTCGTGCATCTAAACAGCCTAAACATACAACAGAATTATCAGAGGAAATGATTCCAGTACACTTAAAACACACGCAGCAGCTATGAACTTAACAACATAAAAGAGGGTATTCAAGGAAACATAACTTTCAAATATCAAGAGGTTAATGATTGGATAATTGGATCGCAGTTTTTTTTTTTTACTAGCAGTGGCTTAAATGTTTTGTGACCCTAACTCATTTCCAAAAGATAAGACTAAGATTTTTTTTTCCTCATACAGTCATTTTTTTTAAAAGGCAACCATATCTTACTGCAGCCAAGCTCCCCAGGGGGAACGGAGGAGATTTTATCCAGCAGCTTGGTTCCCACAATATTCGGGTCCCCACAGAGCTTTGCTAGCTGCAGGAATGCCTCCTTGCCATCACTGGGATTGTAAATCTGCTTTCCAACTATAAGCACAAAACATCAACCAATTATTTTTATAATTGCTGCACTACCTTGTTAGGATCAGACTATAAGCTAACTGCAATACAAATGTCATCACAATATCACAGGGCTTCTAGCTTTTATTATAAAACTAAATGTCAGTTTACTGTATTTAACCTTTCCCTTTAAAAATCAACTGCTGATCAACCACAGCTGTTCTTCATTAATGGATCATATATTACAACTATTAAAATGAGGTGCTGATTACTTAATTATTATTTTTAATCATTTTCTGTACAGTACCTCGACTGGGGTCTTAAGATATCAGATTTAAAATATTATTAATCAGGTCTTAAAAATGAATCTTGTAAACAGATTTTTTACCAGATGTGATCAGCTGCAAAAAAGAATGTCAAAATGCCTTTTGGAGATAAAAAAATACATAATGTTAGTAACAAACCCTGAAGTGGATTTAAAGGCAGTTTCAGGGGCCCAGTCATGTAACCAAAATCAGACTGTCTCACCTGGTTCACTCTCCTGTGTATCTGCTAGTAAGCCCTGTACCACTTCCCTGGACACGAGCTCTGCTACAGTCTCGGCCTGCATCCTCTGGACAGTGATGAAGGCCTTGGCTTTCTTGTAGCGATCTGGCTGCTGTGACAACAGCACCTTACACAGTACAACTTCTGACTCCTCAGCAGAGATCTCACTGTAGGGACACTTCAGCTCCTAGACAGTATTGCACACCATGTTACCACATCATACTGTACTATTTAAGCTTTTGTTAACAAAACTGCGTATCCATATTGTTATAAACCAAACATCTCTTAAAAAAGGAAGAAGAAATTAAACACACAGCTTCTGATCTACAGTGCCTCGCATGTCTCAGTCAGAATTTTAGTGGAACTGGCCTGTACATTACCTCAAATTATGTCAATTTGAATTAATACATGCAAATCACATGCACACATACTGTATGCAAGTACATGTTAGACCATGACAACATCAGCCCACAGCCAAACAAAACTGTGAATGGAAGTGGTACCTTGGAGAGCTCATACAGGCTGAGGACCTGTTTGCAGTAGTTCTTCCCGTGGTAACACTCATCAGCCAGTACTTTCAGATCGATCACAACTTGGTCTTCTGGTGGTGGGTCCCCCACAAAGGAGGACTGGCCCCCCAGACTGCCAGCTGTGTGAATATGAACACTTCAAATCCTGGGCTTAACCATGAGTCTCAGTCTACACTCCAATTGACTAAACCCACACATGCTTATCCCTGAGCATAAGAGCTGGATTAGTCACTTTTCTTCATCTTCACAATCTGTCCACTTCTGGAATTGCATGAGTCACATTCTCAAAATACCTCTGAAGGAAACTACTCAGTGGCAAACTATGGAAATGAAATACAAAGCACAGTTATGCTACATAATTTAAGCCCTTAGTTTTTTTAAAAGGTTATGCAAAATCCTAAAATTTAAAAAAATCTCGTGCATATTAAGTTTTTTCCAAAGAAAAACGTAGATTTGATAAAATCTCTATTATTCATTGTTTACAGTGATATTTCCAAAACTTGACAAAATTAAAAATGTATCTCACTGTTGCGACACATTTTTGAGCAACAGTGGATGAAATCAAATCAGAATGTTTATACAGTAATCCCAGGTCTTTCATGTGGAAAATGTAATTGAGGCAACTGAGCTCAACATGTAGACAAACAGTTTAGTCCATGTACTACATTTTTCCTTCAAGCGTTATACTTACTGCTGGGAAAGGATGGTCTCTTTGAGGGGCCTTCTGAACCCACGGATATCCCAGCTGTAAGAATGGTCTGAACCCCAGGCTGCAGATCAGATGCGCTCACTTCGCCCGATGCCAGACTCCTACAGTGCAGAACCAGCACCACGTCTCTGTGGTAGAAATTAAAGTAGCGGCAGATGCGACTGGCTTCATTAATATTACCCTCATCCAGCAGCTGGCCAACTAGAGCACTCAGAGCTTCTAGCTCAGTGCTCTCTAAACTAGTCCTGCAGCTTTTATCAGAGGGGAGACCGTCTAGCTGTAAATACTCAGGTCTGTTTAGGGCTGCCAGTTTGGAAAAGGAGAATTCCTTGATTAGGTCTTCAAATGGATTATCACTTGCATTCAAAACTGGAAGAAAAAACATGCTTTCCTTCTCCATAGCAGTCAACACAGCTTGCTGGCGGATCCGGCATATCCAAATCCTCTTCTCCATCTCTTCCAACTGAGGGACAGGTGAGGGATCTTCCCTGCAGAGCCAGTGTCCTGCCATGGTCAGCAGGAGGCACGTCTCCTGGATACAATGCAATTCAGCCTCAGCTGCACCTTCCTGCAGAGGCACAGTGGCTTCAGCCTGGGACAGAAAGAACTCGGAGACCTCCTTGTTGCTAATGGCATTGCTCTTGAATCGGTCATGGCACTTCTTCCAGAAAGCGATTCTCATTTCTTTCCTCTCCCACTGTCTCTTGGTTTTCAAATTCTGTAGGTCCTGTAATACCTGTGAAAATATACAAGAAGATCCTAAAGTTATCACAATGGAAGCAAAAGCAGCAAACCAAATCCTACTGAACATGAAATGATTCTGTTTGTAAACACTTAATAATTGAAGAATGACTCACTTCACAAATTGCCAGTCTGCCTGTAGGCAGGTCAGCTAACTGAGCCACCTGTCTTGCTGAGGAGAAAAGACCTTCTCGCTGCAGCTCCTCCATGATCTGCAAACACTCCCTCTGCAGAGTTTCCCCAGAATACGCTTCCAGGAGTGAGTGGCTGATGGACACAGGGGTGTCCTGTAGGATTTGACTGAGGAGGCTAAGCTTCTTAAAGTCTGGGCCTACAGAAGTAACAGAACACACAATATCATCAAACCAATAAGTTTACAGAGGCCAATTACTGAATCAATAATAATGCACATACAGTATATTATTATCATAATGCACAGGAAAATTGAGTTCAAAAACATGGATCCAATAAAAAGCAAAAGAAACTGGAAAACAAATGTTCTCTTCAATGTGAAAAAACAAACAAAAATGTAAATAATTATTAGCCTGTCCAGAATCCTTAAAAAAAATAACTGTTTTTTTCTTCTTTTTTTTTTTTACAATGTATTTGGTCTTGAGCAAGGTTCTGCATCTTCACGCTTCCTTTCCAACACAAAGCTATAAGACTATAAGAGACAAACTGTAAAAAAAAGAAACAAATGACCCTGTCGCATAAGGGAACAGTTCAGTAAGCAATGGCTAAGTATTTTCCAAGAAGTTCACAGACTACGGACCCTTCTGCTTCAGGCCTCTTACCATTTGACCTGAGAAATCTCTCCATGTCCGCCAGCAGCTGCAGTAACTTCCTCAGCTCATACTGTGTGGCACACTGCAGAATCATGATGTGAAGGAGAGAGGAGGCCTGCGATTCAGCCCACTGCACTGGGATGACAGGAGAAGTCGTGGCAGTGCTGGTCTTCAGCTGTAAAAACAAGATCACTGCAATAAGCACATGTTCCCTGAGCCATGGCTGGACTAATAACAGTAAGAGGAAATAAATAATAATTTAACACTATAATCAATTTAGGATATAACACGAAATATTGTGGGGGAAAAAAACAACTTCTCATTTCCTATGGGGTTTAGAAATGCAGAAGACACATTATAGAACTCTGTTTGCAGGGGAGTGGTAAGTTCTGCAGAGATCTGCAATGGTTAAATATTTGCAGTTGCTTCAGTTGACATTTAAATGAGCCATAACCGCAGAAACACTACAATAAGCATGGCTTATAAGAACAGATGTACTGATGTAAGTGCCCTTAATTAAGGAAGCTAAAAACATATAATTCACTCAATACTAAGTAGAATGTAAAAAACATAACAGTCTTGTTATCCTTTTTGTAAAGTTGGATTTTTCTAGATTTGGGGGTGATTACAGTCTTCTGCCACAATCCTTTCCATGCTATTAGAAGGAAGTAGTGGAAAGCGAATTTGATGGCTAATGAAGACTGACAATTTGCAGAAAGAAAACATCAAATCAAAAGCGTACATTCATCAGACATTTCTGGAAGTCAAGCAGTCTGTTCTTTGCTTCATCATAATTCTTGTACTCCCAGCAGAATTCATACATCTGCAACATGTAGATCAGAGGACAGTCCTGGAAAAGAGATAAAAAGTGTACTTTACCCACTCATCTTGAAAAGGTGAAGACTATTTTTCCTACTTATATCAAATGTCATAGTACTTCATGGGTAACAATTTAAATCTTTAACTTATAATTTAACCATTTTTATGAGAATTAGCACCCTGCATTCACACATAAGATATTGCTCTACCCATTAATTCCCTGAAAGCCAATGGGTACACAAGGAGTGGAGGAGACAAAACAGGCTGGAATTAGTTAAATAGGGTTCTACACAATAACAGCAGAATTCTCTCAGGAAAGCATTCAACATAAAACATTAAGCAATATCAATTGAATTTATTGCCCTTTGTCAGTGACTACCAGGTTTCAGAGAACAATTTATTCAAATAAAAGCCAATCAAAGTCCAAGATCAAATGAAAACCAGGAAACCCTGTGACCCTACAGTACCAGGAGTGAATATACAGTATGTGTCCTGTGACTTTTCTGGCTTTAGATACAGTACATAAGGAATACAATGGTACCTTCTGAAACAACTGAAAGCCTCTTAAAAGGGGTTTTGCATTTTGTCTTTTCAAGAGAGTCTTCCATATGATTGACAGGTCATGGAGGTTCCACTCATGCTGCTTTAGACACTCGTTTATGTGACCTGTGGCTTCTGCAATGATGTCATCATCCACAGAGGTTAAAACCCAAACGCAGAGGCACTGGAGTAAACTGACATCCTGCCGTAGGAAAAACACATACAATTTCAGAACATTGTCTCCAAGCAATGGCAGAGAATATCTATTTCTTCAGCACTGCCAGTCAGTTACTGGTTTGTTTAATTTGTTCAGTAAAAAAAATAGCTTTTTAATTAAACTATAATTTAATTGAAATAACAGTGCTCTTATATACAGTATTTGCTTTAATATATAAAAATGCAAAGGGTTGTTCTCATTTCCAGTATACTACACACAAACATACAAATATATTTGCATGCATCTATATACCTGGTCACGAAGGTCTCTCTTTAAGGACCCTGTTCAAAGTAGTAGCTTTAAGTGTCTTTGCTGACCTACCTCAATGCAGGCTGCAATGACAGTGAGAACAGGACAGTGCTGGTGCATTGCTTCAGACAGTAGGTATCGCCATGCACTGGGCTTGTCCTGGCTCTGTAACAGCACCTGGAAGAGCTCCCTGGGAGGCTGTGCCTCACTTTTTAGAATGGCCTGTTCGGTGGGGGTCTGGTCTCTGTTGTCCTCCCTCTGGGATACCAGCTGCAGATTCTCAAAGGCCAGGGAGAGGTGAGCCTGCAGTTCTGGGCTGAACTGTGCTGTCAAAGCCCGCACCTGTCAGAAGGCACCAAAATCACAACTGGGATGGAGAAATATCCAAACAACATAGACTTACTAATTGTCCAAAAGATTAAATGGTGAGGAACCACATATAAGGATTTTCTATTACTTATGTTATACCTAGTTATGAATAGAAGCCACAGTAGTTTTGTCCCTTCCAAATTCAATAATCTTATCTTTTACAGTGAAGTACTAGGGTCTTCAAGCCTGCTGTAGAAATAACAAAACTGGACAAAAATGGAAAAAAAAACCCTGAAAGGTCACTAATTTTCATTTTGAAAGAAATTTAATTAGAGCCACATGGCCCATGCCACATAAACAAATACTAATTAAAAACTGCAGATGACACAGACGGACTTCTGTTTTAGGAAGATAAAGTTGATTAAAGAACACATAAATTCAAGGAATGTTTTTCTGAAGATAGAAATTATACTTTAACATATTTCTGCAATTTAGGTCTTAACATAAAAGACATAATTCTCAAATGCACTCTACTTAAGGAACCTTAGAAGGGTTATAAAGCTGGAGTAGAATTAAAACTACCAGAATGGCTAGTGAAGACTGGAGCAATGACAACGTGCTTTGGGCAGAGCCTTTTGCCTACCTATTAAAGCTAAGACTGCTCTCTTGCAGTACCGATTAGAAAAATACAGTCAGAAGAGTGATTAAAAGCTATTTCTGTTCTGGGGGACCACAAAAGAAATTAGACAGAAAAGGTCATTACATGGAATGACATAATGGAAGTATGACCACCCTGATTTTAACAACTTTAGCACAGTCACTTCTTCCTAACGATTCAGGGTATGTTGACTGCACCCAAAAAAAATGCTTTAAACAATACATATGTGTTCTATTAAAAAACGGCTGTTAGCCTATTAGTAATATTTATTAAAGATATCCATCAATAGCTGCTTTAACAGGTAAGAAACTAAAAGTACTATGTGAAAAGGGAATCTTGCCAGTTTATTTGTTTTTAATTCCTGGTGGCTGCTCACCTGCTCTGGAGGGTAGCTGTGCAGTTGAGAGAAGATGAGGAAATGCAGCCACTGGTTGTCTGTGGCGCAGGCCTGCAGGTACACAGAGGTAAGAGGGAGCTTGTGCAGCTGAGAAAACTGCACCACCAGGGACCACTCCTGACCTGCTTCATAAGAGGATCTGCAGGGAAGACACGACACAGCTGTGCTTTAACATGGGAGTGATTTCCCTCAATGAAATGATCATATTCTGTTCCCTGGGACATGATTTGATTAATGATGGAGCCATGCTAATGGAGCTGTTGTTACCATGGAAGGGGAAGGAGGCTATGACTGGCAAAAGCCAATGGAAAATTTGGCCAGGATGCCAGGGTAACACCCCTACACTTTTCAAGAAATGCCCTGAGATTTCTAATGACCCCAGAGAGTCAGGACCTTGGTTTTATGTTTCATCTGAAGAACAGTGCCTTCTGACAGTATAGTGTCCCCGTCAGTATACTGGGGCATCAGGACCTACACAGACCACAGGGTGAGACCCTCCTACTGGCCCCACTAACACCACTTCCAGCAGAAACCTTAGCTTTCCCAGGAGGTCTCCTATCCAGGTACTGGCTAGGATCACACCTGCTGACATTCAGTGGATTGCCAGGTGTGAGTTGCAGGTGATAAGGCTGCTGGCATGAGGCAAAATATTAATAAAGAAATGATCGATCTATGTGGGCCCAGGGGCTTAGGGGATCCTATGCTGCTGTTCACAGCCATATTTCTTTAACACTTTGCTGATGAAAGTACATGCTATGCCATCCTTCTTGATTTAACAATGTTACATTTAAGTTAGCTGTTCATTCTTCACAATTGTTGCCTTTA